CTAGATATCTAGGTAAAGTAGGTAACCACGGATCTCATAATCGAGCTTTGACTAAAGATATTCCTTTGAAACATCGAAACCAGAATCAAAATCTATGTTAACTATAATTATTATAAATTTATAGAAAAAGAATTACTGACTTATGATTATTATTATTATTATTTTTTTTTTTTTGTAGCAGAAACCAAGAACTATAATATCAGTTAATTAATATTTTTGAAAATAAATCAAACGAACCCATTCAGTTGATGATTAAAACTATCATCGTGTCACGATAAAATATTTTCTCCTATACACAAATAACGCCAATAATCCTAATAATATATATACTTGTACACGTTTTTTAGACAATATATTTTATAAAAATAAACAAACTTATCTATCTACCTATAATTTAAAATTGTTGGTTAAACATTTAACCTAGATTAGAAAAATTTAGACTTTGAGATGGACATTTTGATATAATTGTTGTAGATATAATTGCTATCTATATTCACAATCGTTTTATTAATTATAATATTAATACTTGATGATGTATCATGTATTCGTATACGATATGTACCTATTTAATACCTTTACTATATATGTCTATCTGTATACATGTAGGTAATTTAATGTCTTTTTCTGAGTTTTGGCTATCATGCGAAAAAATACGATATTATATATAATTATAATAATATATTAATATTACTATTTTAGTGTATTTATAGTAATGTGGAAGGGGGCTTTTGAATTCGAAAAATGCCCTTTGTATTCTATAGTAGGAGTAGGTATATAGGTAGCATAGTTACTTCAGTTCTTATTTCTTATATTGTCTACCAAGGTTCAATTAGAGTCAAGAGTACATTATTATAATCATATCGTATCATTCGCATCGCACAATAATTTATAAACTTTCAAAAGCGTTAAATCATGTGTACTATATATATTATGCGCGCTGGTATCGTACGTACTAACTACCTACATATAGGTTAATAGGTAGTTAACTTATACAAATTATAGTGTCTAGGTATGTTCTATACATATGACATATAATAAAATTGTGTAATACCAATATTAATATTGTATAATTATTAGGGTGGTTCTTATTTTTCAGCCAATTTCCTTCGGAACACCCGCCTATATTGTGCCGTATAATAAAAATATATCCCCAAAGTTGCTATTTGGATAATATTTAGTGGAGGCACACGGCGTTTTAAATTTGAATAACAAAAATACAATATAAAATCAATGAAAATAGTGTACAAACGACCACAGATTGTTTCAGGGGTTATCAAACCTTGGATAATGAGAGGAAAATATCCCCTCCTCATAAATTCATTTTTTTTTAAACATTTATAATAATATACAAGCAGTTTTTTAAGCATGCTCAGTGTTCTCCTATTTTTATGACTAAATTATACATAAATTCTAATTCTAATATTTGGAATTTTTAAGTGTAGTGATAAAGACGATATTTTCGAATATTTAAATTGTTTACAACACTTAAAAATTAACCTGTGACTATATTAAATTTTACTTTTTTAAATGAGAGTCTACATGTTTTAATGCAAATTGTCAATCATATGATCTTTTTGAAGATGAAAAGGTATATTTTAATCAAAATTTGAACGAATAGTTTCCGAGTTATTTTGCTTTAAATACTAAAGATTCTAACTGCATGATTCAAAATAAGAAATTATCTAACACATGTAAAACTTGTTATCCAATCTCCAAAAAAATGCTATTATCCTTAATATTTAAAGCTGAATAACAAAGAAACTTTTCGTTTGAATTTCATTTACAATACGTTAAAATTTTCAAAAATATCATCTGATTAATAATTTGCATAGAAACATGTAAGATCTCATTAGAAGTCATAGCCTATGACGTTATCGTCATAGGATATTCATTAAATGTTTTGAAAATTTAAATATGCGAAAATATCGCCGTTCAATGCACTTAAAAATTCCAAAAATCAGAATTTGAATTTATGCATAATCTAATAAATGGAGTGAGCGTGCTTAAAGCACCCTGTATATTATATTATATCTTCAAAATAACACAAACGATTATGTAAACAACAATTGTTCCTGAAAATTATCCTTATCCCCCTTCCATGACAAAAATCATTTGACCGCCACTGGATCATTTAGAATTGTTTTTTTTTTTTAAATAAAAACAAAGAACCTATTTTAATTCTAAGATCTTAATGTATTTTTTAATCTACATACAGAAGAATTAGATTGTTCAAGAGTTTCTGCAGAAATCAACTGCAACTTTTTCTTTATGAAATTACCAACTGTTTCTATATTAGAATAGTTATATGTTATAACATTAATAAAGTATACCGTTGATTCGCAAATAAAAATAACCCTAACCTTGATAGTTGATAACACAAAAATCTTGACAATTCAAATTTAATTTTGGCCCCTAGAAAATAAAAATTCTCGTAAAATTCTAGAACGTTTAAATACACTCGTGTATAAAAAATTAATAAATAGCTATTATAATAAACAGTTTATTAATTTCTTAGCATCTTCATTTAAAATATCCCCATCATGTATGGCAGCAAAAAAAACATTAAGATCTTATAATCCTATTGGATTAAAATAGGTAATTTGTTTTTTAAGTGTTTAAAAAATCAACCCTAAACGATCTATAGTTGTTAGTACACTATTTCTTTTGATATTAAATATTAAAACGCTATGCGCCTCTACTAAATGTTATCCAAATGGTTTCAAACATTGAGAATATTTTATTTTTTATTATACAGGTGGGTGTTTTTTAGGAAATTTTTAAGTTAGCAAAATAAGGATCACCCTAATAATTATACATAAAGTTAGTGTTAGATTAGGTCAGATTAATCGGATTATGTGTATGTCTTTGCTTTTAAAAATAAAAACTACAGGTATATATTGGGCTTACGGTATTAAAAATGAATACCGATAGTACGGTATTGTGTTAAATACCGGTTTGAACCGGTATACGGAAAATACCAAATAAGTAGTGATATACTCGGCGTGATAGATACCACCTGTTATAATATAATGTTAAATTATATTTAATTTGTATACTTATTAAATATTCATTACCCACACTATATAGATTCAATTGTTTAAAAAAGTATAATATTTTGAATAGTCACGGGTTTTAAATATATTTTTTGTTGTTTAAAATTACAATACATAGGTAGCTACTTATGTACCTACATAATGTAATAAATAGTTATTATGGAAATATATTTTTATTTTGTGAAGGTCGACTTGATATTCATACCTAAATGCAATAACCTACCTACCTACTTGTTGAATTAAACATTACGATATTTACGGTTGTGGATCGGTTAAGATTAGGTATAGGTGTAGATATTCATATAAACTGTAATGTGTCGGTGCATCTATATTTCGTACCTACTACAGTTTAATAAGTGTTATATATTACAAGTTTAATATGTAAAGTACAAAAAAAAGATATATATATATATATATGTATAGTATTTACCCTAATGTGATACCTATCGTCTATTATTATTACTTCTGAATAAACACCTATATTCGCTTTATTAAGTACCAAGTTGCATTATTATACTTTATTCGTATTAGGTATTCCGTACTCTACAATTAGGTAAACCCAACTGCATTATCTTGTATAGTAATATACTATATATTATCATATATAGGTAGGAACCTAGATATCATCTGAAAATAGAGCGGGGCAGTAGCATAATTTAGGCATAATGTCAGTGGTTGCAAAAATTATTCAGAATGCAAAGACTTTGTTGGAGCTTTGCCCTCCCCCCCAACGTTATAAAAACAAATAATATTTTAGTATAATCATATTATTATATATTATTAATATAAAATAAATTATAAATCTATATAATTCTTCTTATATAGGTACCTGATATATATTATTAAAAACTATGAATTAAATCACACAATCTTTAACGATGAGAGTACTAAATTGAAAATTATCAAATTGTGACTCTCTTACTGTTGTTCTCTATTTTAATGTATGTATAGTAATGACTTATACATTGATTGGTTATAACAATTTTTCTTTAAATATTTTTTAATTTTTAATACCTTATAACTAAAATATTCTATAACATACATTTGAAGTAAATGTGTGACGACAGAAAAGTTTGAATTTAAAAATAGATTTATTTTTATTTAATTTATAATAGTGAAATAATGAATAGTAATAATTATATTTTGATTGGTGCTGTATTGCTTATATGTAATTTCAATTTTATCATTTTCGAAGATGCTTTTTTTTCAGAATTAAATAATTAAACAATTATTCACCTATTTTAATTTTTTTTATTAATAAAAAACCATAAAAACAGAAATTGTAGGGGTTAAAAATCAGTACTTTTGTGACCTCCCAATTAAGCCACTGGAGCCGGGTTGAGGCTTATAAGTTTGCCTACATACATGACATATTCGTCGTAAGTACATACGAGTTAAGGCGTATAGATAATACTTATATATATCTATAAACCTTGCTTACGAGTAATCATTTCAGTGCAATGTGCATCACTAGAACTCCCTCTAAAAATGATCGATAAAACATATGTGTTATTCACATTTACAGGATATCCTTAATAATAAAATGTTTTGTATTTATACCCACATTTTAAATTTTATCTATTTGTGAACAATATGTAAGTGAATGTAAGATGTTCTACTCAAATAAATTGTTCTACTTATTGACGATAAAATCAGTTTTTATAAAACGATTAATTCACAACATTTTCTATTGTAGACACCGTGTGTAATACATATAGTTGTATTTGGAAATTATTTACAATTACCATTATTTAGTAGGTATTATTTACCTTTCGCTTTCGCTACGGAAAGTTTCCAATCATCAAAATAAAATAATTGTACAAAATTATAATTTTCGAGAGTTTTGGAGTAGGACATTCGGGTAACACTGTGTTAATCACAAACTGCCATCTCGTTTCGTCCTTTTGATTTACTATTGCGTTCACCGCCGCTACGCCGCCTATTGTTGTTCATCAGTGTTTAGTCTGTCAGTGCTCGCGAGTGATATCGTGTTGTTGTTTTCACTCGATGTGATAGTTGAAAATTTGAATTCTCGTTTTGTTTTGTTTGTATGTTATTTTGAAAATTTAAAATTACGATCTGTTTATTAATATTGTGATGGTTTAAATTTAAGTTTGTTTTAATATTTCTATGTGATCTGCTATTTTTTAATGTACGTGGCGGTCCATATGCTCAGATCTGCACCTGTTGCATTTCAGTTAATATTTTTCATTTTATTCTGTGAAAATTATTACACCGATTTTAAATGCGGAATGGTGATGAGGTGAGAGTTTTATGTTGTTTAAAGTTTTTTGTGCCGCAAGCAAAATCGGCTGACGTGAAAATGGGCAACTCGCAAAGCGGTAAGTCGGAGTACAGCTCACCGATTTCGACTCCGCAACACCAGCTTCATTTGCCTGTAGAATTGCCCAGGACTCATAATTTGCGGGCGAGCATTCGAACTAAAATACCGATGCCGGACAAGAGTGAATTGGAAAAACGATTCACAAAAGTCTTGGTATGTATTATATTGTATTTACCTACCAAATTTAAAAATAAATTTAATGAAATAAATATTTATATATATATATACATGGTATCTAGGTACTTTAATTTTGTATTATTAAGTTTTGTTTTTATTAAATTACAGTAGGTTTAGTTGTAAGTTCAATAGTTTTTAAATTTTTAAATTTTAATAGGTATACTATTAGAGTTAATTTAAATTCCCATTGATTCATACTTGTGTAGGTAACAATAATTTCATCTGTGATTTCACCTTGAGTTTTCTTGATAGCTACTGAACTATCTAGTAAATAACTACAAATACCAAGAGTAAATATAAAGTACTAATAAAGATTAAATATTATATTAATGGGTACATACTGTTAGTCTTAAAGGGTTGTATTATTCAGATGATGCTTATATTTTCATCTACCTATATTGTATTATTTCTATTATCTTAAATATATTGAATTGGGAGGGGGAATTAAAATTGGATTAAAAAACATATAGTAAAATGTCTGGTACAATACCAAGTTGAAATATATTAATGTGTGCCAGCTTTTAGAATTATCATTGCTCCAAAAACTTAAAAAATAATAGTGTCCCTTGTTCTGTTACAAATCTAAAATGTGACAAAAATCTGCTCACACACATTAGCAAAATAAGTCAAAAATACATAGGTATTATTATGATTTACATTATATGTATGTTGAATGTGTATGATCCATCAAATTTAATTTAATTTAATTTTAAACTTGTAGCAAGTTAATACTAAAGTAGAAGTAAACAAGGTACATCAATATAATATGTATATTGTACACTTGTAGGTATATAAATTATATACTTATTTAATAATAAGATTGTATAAAAGTTAAATATATGTACCTATAACAAAAAATAAATATAATACAAACAAGGAATTTATATAATTACTTTAAAGTAGATTATAAAAAGTAAAATAATTAAAAGTATTATAAAAACAATTCTAATTAATAACTTATTTGTTTGGTTATTAAATAAATAAATAATATAAATAATTTTGAAATTTAAATTGTAAGGTGTGCAATAATATGTAAGTAATATTGAAATGAGTAAAATGTAGGTAGGTAAAATATTCTTATGAATTATAATAATTTACTTAGTATTTTACTATATTATAATTCATACGTAGGTAGGTATCACCATTTAATACTATGTGGGTACTGTAAGTATATTCATATATAGTACCTATGTACCTAATGTATAATCAATGGTATTGCATATTATTATATTTTATTATGCTCAACATCAATACCTACTTATTTATAAACAATTCATACAATATATTACAAAAAAACAAAAAAAAAAACACTTATGAAAATAAAAGTATAATAATAATAGTATAGTTTATACAATTAGTATAATAATTAAGTACAATAATAACTTGAATACATTTTTTTATTAAAAGTTAATATTATGTGTAAATCTGTTGTAAATATTGTCACTCAAATCTAAAATCAAGAAAACTGTTGAGTCCTATTTTTACATATTAATTTTATACAAAAATTGAATAATAATTGCTCTAAAATCATTATATTTTAATTATTACCTCTAATAGAGTAAATTAAATCAATATTTGATGTTATAAGTCTCAAAGTCTCAACACTCATTTGCTTTGCTTACTCAATAACTCACATTAGTTTAACATAATATTATATAGTAGTTTTCCTATAAACTATATAACCGTTGATACTGTTGATAGTATTTATTTGTATACAATACCTTTATTCAAAAATAAAATTACTACACTATTGTAGCTTACAATTTGTAGGCAATGCTTGAATTGAAAAAATACAAAAAAAAAAAATAAGATACTATGAGATTTAAACAAAAATTGGTCTACTTTGAAATTATTGAACTTAACCTTAACACAACCTATAATACTTCTACAGGTTATGTTTTTGTAGATGTTTTTGCTTGCATATTTATTTTATTTTTAGAAAATTGTTTCTTATCTTCATAAAAAAATGATGGTATTTTAATTTTGGTCAAATTACTTAATTTATTATCACACGGGGTAAAAGTGCAACACAGAAAATATAATAATAATAATAATTTAACTAAATAATATTAGTGATTTTTTTTAGACTTTAATATTATAATATTGAATGTATCTGAGTTAATAATGCATGTTTTTTTTTGAAAATATCATTATTTGTATCTTAAATAGATGTACCATGTTAATAGATATAATTAGTATTAATATAGATTCACCTGCAGTTTCAAATTAAAATGTCCAAGTTGTTTTACATTGTTTATTTAAATTATTTAATACATTTTATATATCGGACATGTCATTTATTACACATGTGGTTTAGTTTGGTTTAGTAAAACGTATCAATCTATTTGTTTAGATTTTTAGGTATTGTCATGTTTATTGCATATAGTATGAAACTTTTATTGATTTGCGTAATTTAAATTAAACTACAGTTTTGTAAAAGTAGTTATATTCTTAATAATATTAAGCCATTTTCTCTTTAACACAAATTGGTATGTAGGTATATAATTATTTTTCGTTCTATGTAAGTTGGTATTTAGTTCTTATATACCTATTCCATAAATGATAATAGGTATGAACTTTTGTAATTGCATATTTTCATTTTTATTTTTAAATTGGTACCTTTATCTTTAATGCGGCATTTAAAATGAGATTTTAATATTGTTATAACAAGAATATCTATTAATATTTCAGGTGCCTACACTAGATTAGTTATGACTACTATTCTCTCGAGATTCATCACAAGAAGCTGCGCTCTAAAATTATCGAAATAGGGTTTTTGTTTCAAAATGCTTCAATATATATATCATATAACTGTTTTTGTATATGTTTCTCGTAGCAACCGTCATAATATCACTTTATTTTCTTTATTGCTGATTAGATTTATACGTATAATATAATATTACGAGATATATTATATTACTTTTCTTATCATTTAATATATGGTGGAATTTTGGGAAGCTTTATCTACATTGTGGGCCTATGTTATAATATTGTGTTTTTTTTTTTCGTGCGTCTACTGTCAATCCGTTTTTGTCAGCGTTTGTTGAGTGGCTGAATAAAAATTATGCCTATTTTTTTATAGACTACAATTTTAAAATTTATTTAGTATGTTTTATTATTTCAAATTGTATACGTCCAAAGAACATGTATTTATATGTGTGTGGATGGAGTAAAGAAGGAGTTTGTACAATAAATGGGTATACGGAACTGGAGAAATGTAGTTAAGGAGCGGAATGAGTGGAGAAGTATTTTTTGTTTTGAAAGCCAAAGGCCGCCATCATCTGCAACGCTCAGGTATAGTGCCTAGTAGTATTTCAAATTATTGACTTCACAGTGGCGTATCTGTGGGGGGCTAGGGGTCATTTGCTCCCTCCCGTGGGCCGCATAATTATGTGTTCATTGTTATTTGTTTTTAGTGTTTTTATAATTATTTTAAAATTTTGTTTGCATGCACTGTTGCATATTTACCAATGGATAATTATATCATTGAAAGATTCTCTTCTATGAAAAACCGGAGATTAGACTTTGTATTATAAATTTATAACGTGTATACGTTTCTTATTTTATCTATTAAAATGTTATATTTTGCAATTATAAAAAAGATCTCAATTCCCGTGTTTATTAATTTAATTGTAGCTATGACGTTATTTTTTAAAGAAATTGTCTATTTTGAGAGTGGTTGAAAATATATTTCGCCTCTCCCTGCCTGTAAGAAAGACCAGGCTTTTCTGAGAATGGCCTTTTCTTCTACGCCACTGAGACTTTTTTTCAATGTTTTTGAACATAACTTTTCTAGCCTAAATTCTTTACTTGCGTAATGTGATTATAATTTGTGATTAAATAGATTAAATATATTATCCGTTACTAATGTGATATTAGTATAATATCTCAAATAGTGATTATTATTTGAATGATTAGGTCTCAGGACTTATTGCATTTGAAATTCACAAAAAAGCGCTTAAAAACGTCTACAAACTAAAAACAAATTTATAAGAACAAAAATGGTAGTAGGGTTTAAACTGTCTGAAGGTCTCCTGTCAAACGAAATTAAGTCCCTAGTCCTAATAACGTTCTAACATTATTTTATGGTACCTATATTGAATATTCTCTATTATGTTTGTGTGATGTTTTTGATGATGTATTAAGGTTAAATATTGTATATCTATTATCAGTCCTCGTCTTTATTTTTAGTTTTCTAATTATTGATTATAATTAATAATATGATTAGTAAAAAATAATTTGAAATATTCATTGAGCAAGTAAAAAATATCATGTTAGGTGCTTATATTGTAACATAACCGGACACTGAGGGTGGCATTTGATATTTTAATAGGTGTCTAACAGTGTGTTAATAAAAAAAAAAACTGATGAAAAATGTCAATTTGGTTAAACTAGTTTTTAATACAAATTTTGTAAAAATCTAGAAGTTAATAAAATATTTAAGGTTTATAGCCATTAGTAAAAATACACTCGAGTATCAGTTTCGATACCATTTGGTGACACAAGTTGTAATTAGTAAATTCTTATTATTGATTTCGTTTAATTGGTTTTACCGCAAAAGTAATATAAATTTTATTTTTATTTTATAAGGTTAAAATGGTATAATTAACATTTTTGAATAGCTGGCTTTTCATTTGTCTCATTACTATCGCTGATACAGGTACCTAATATAAAAATAATAATTGAATAATTGTGTAAATAAAACTAATTAAGTCGGAGTACACTAAATTACAACAAATTATTTTTTTATTAATCAAAGTCGTGAGATTTTATCGTTTAAATGTGTATTCGTGCACTATGATATGCAGTTTACTAATTCAAGTTTCTTTTCGGCGTTTTCCAATTTTTTTTTTACCAATGAGGTAAATACTTTGTTGTTTTATTAAATAACGTTTTATTTTACAAATAGGTTTTAAAATGATGTTTATTTCATTTATTTTTCTGTGAACAACTTTTCTACCATACATTTTGCTCCGATTTTCAAATGTAGCACTTTTTCTGAAAGGAAACATAACTGTGGTGGTCATTTAGGGGGTTAATTTTTTGATTTTTTCAGTTTTTTTCATAATAAATGTGTAAACCCGGAACAATTGTAATGATTATTATCGTTGCTTTTAGTATATAAATTAAATATCTCTAAATCCTGTATGTGCAAAAGAACGTCTGCAGTTTAAATAATATTTATCGCACTGACGTGTTTTGTGTTATTTTGAAGATTATTTAGTCTTTCATTAATTCAAAGTGAACTTGAGTTATGACTGCGGGAGTGAATAATTTGGTTAAGAGATATCTAATAGGTAATTGTTTAAAAAAAATGTATAATAAACGCTCTTAAATTAGTCGTAAATCGTAATGTATAACACGTCGTTTAAAATAAATATGCATATTATATAACGTAGGTGGGAGGTATTTCGTTCGTTTTATGTTTTTGATGAAATTCTGTTGTTTTTTTATCGACAGGATGTTGATATTAATGCGTCAAATTTGAAATCATAGATTTTATGTTTCTCGACGTGTTCAATTTGATATTAACTATTTATAGTATTTACATTATTGTGCACTATATCAACCGGCGTGAAATGTCGGTGCAGTGTTATAATGATCCTACATGCGGTTGACTGTCGATGATAGCCACGTTTAATCACGAGTTCGTACAATTATAGACTTTTATAATACATAATATATACAAATATATAATATATATTATAAATTACCGGATCGCAATATAAAGGAATTTTCATTTTTTTTTTTCTTGAAAATATTTTAAACCTTTCAAAAAATATTATTATGTGAAATAAAATACAATTATATAGTCGTATTATTCGGTCGCTGAATACCACTTTAAACCCCCCGTATTCAAACGGACAATGAAATAACAATATTAGGGTCGGAAACACGAAACACGTGTTCGCATAAATATTTCTTATTTTAAAACGTGTGCATTTTATTACGGTCGGGGGATCGCATACTGACGATTGATTAATAAGAAAGGAGTGGTTACAAAATATGTTCTCGCGGAATTCGAGATATACAGTACGCGCGTGTAGGTCTAATATAGTGTAATATTATTATTGTAATTTATTTTGCACGACCGCTCTCTACGGCTTTTTTATAGTACAAGTGTATCGCAATTTTTTTTGTTTATACAGGACGATCAACATATATTATAACGGAAGACACTCGTTATGTTTCGGAATGTATTAACTTTTTCTTCCTAATTTGTCTTTAGAAAAATTAAGAAACAACCGACTTTGAAATGTTACATTGCCTATTATTTTTTCTCGCCCTAATTTTTGGACGTGTGAAACCACTGCCCGCTTTTCATTTTCAAATAGCAATAAACCAAATTAAACTAAATATTTTAAAAATTGCATTAAATTTATAATACAAGTTTAAATACATTTCGATGTTGAAATTATTAATTTTACTCGACTCTGACGAAATATTCCTTTTATGTTTGGGTAAGGGGAGAGTACCTAGTTGAGCTCATCAAATGCTATGTGCCGTGCCGCTACACAAATTACGTTCCACTACTCTCCCCCTAACTAACTTTAAAAGTGTAATATCTCGTCAATGGGTTGACAGAAATCAAAAATTTCAACACCAACAGTTTAATGTTTAACTATGTTTAACCAGGGTTGGTAATATACGCGTATAAAACATTTTATGTTTTACACGTATAAAACGATAAAGACATAAGGAATTATCTATTTTTTTTCTTTTAAATCTATAATTATTATAATCAATCGCATCTATGTAATTGATAAATTGTCCTAAATTTAGAATAAAATAAAAAAATTATAATTATTAATATAGTTATTAACAAAAAATAAGGATGAACTTAATAATATTATAGGTACCTAAGTAACATATTTTAATTTGTCGTACTTACCAACTTTACGACATTTACCGATCATTCGGTATTTACCTAAAAGTTTAATGGTATTCGCCAGTTATACAGTATTTACCGATTATACGGTATAACGATATTTAAAAATACCGGTATTTGTAAATACCTAATACGTTACACGGACTAAGGTGTACAAAACTAGACACGATATGGCTCTGGAGGGTATTATGGGTTCGCTTGTCTATGAAATGTTATAGAACAAACGGAGTACTAGGGTATTTTTCCTTTTAGCACCATCTTTGACTATATCACCTCGGATACATATACATTAGAATGATTATACAATATATATGATAACAGACACTATACGGTAGTTATCGGTTTATTGGTATAGTTACTGAAACTACGAGAATTATCGGTTTGTCGGTATTTACTGAAATTATGGTATACCGGTATACCGAAAATACCACCAGCTCTAGTTTCACCCCCAAAACATAATGGTAATGTAAAATTTTAGACTTTTCTTGAATTCTAAATAAAAATATTATGAAAATAGTTAATACTTCCCAGTTCCCAATAAATCGCAATGATCATATTATTATCTTCATCTGATATTTTATGAATTTTTTTCTACTCGTTTAAATTAAATTTACGTTTTATTTTTACATTTAATTTTCAGCACTTTTTCTTTCTTCAGGGTTTATATAATAAATTATAAGCAATAAGACATGCAGAAATAATTCGCCTATTACTGTATATGCTACGTATCAACGTAGTTATTCATAAAAATTATTTTCGATAAATTATACGTGACGTTGAGACGGTTACATTATCATCATTTTAGAAAATTAAAAAAAAGTTATTGATCTTGAAATATGTCATAATTTTGCAGGTTTAATGATTATTATTTTTTTTCTTATATTGGTATTACGATACATTCGTTTTAGCCATGACCATTGATTATAATAATATCAATGCCATGACTGTATATAATATGTTTTTTTTCCTACTAATTAAGAATATCTTATGGTGTGCATACATATCAGAGAACATATTGTCTATGTGAATTGATACTTAAAAGATTATTGGTTAAAAAAAAAAAAAATGTTAAATAGTTGCGTTTGTGACTATTACAATAGGTTATTATACAAAAGTAAAATAAACACATAATTCTAGGTTAAATATTGTACCTGTACAGTTATTACGGTAAGGTATGTAACTAAAAAATTAAAAAAAAAAAAAAACTATATTTTTAAAACGAACTAAAAAGTAAATATAATGATGGAAAGTGTGAATACAAATGATAAGAACATAATTTTATATTGACAATTTGAACATGGGACGTTTTTATGTATTGCTGGAGACGTGACAAGGTATTTTTGAAGGAAGTTTCTGTGTCTAAATGGATACAGTAAAGTCCATTGGACATCCAGTAGAGTACCTATATGGTTTTGCTTATTGTATGCGTCCACTAAAAAATAAATGGTAAATTATTGAATTGTTAGGATTTATAACAAAACATTTTATTCGATATAAATAATACTCTCACTGGTGATGTGGTATCTGGGGAAGTCCAAAAATTAAGGTCTGGTCTATCTACTCGTGGAACTTTTTCAAGGAAAGGGGGAGGGTATACGACATATCGTGGATATATTTACTGAAAAAAAGTCCCGAGGCATGGAGCACTTCGTATCCATTAATTTACGGTAACCGTCCAATTATGTATTTGTTTTAATATTTGTTGATACATTTTGAGAAAATAAAAAAATCGGTTTATAATCCATTATAAGGTGGGAAATATTAATAAAATAAAAATTGTAGGTATGATATATTTTTCGATACATTGACATTTTCCCCAAAAGTAATTTCTGGGTGAAAAAGGATAAACGGACTGAAAACGGATAATCTGATTCTCTACAAACCAATAACTACCGTAATTCGGTAAATACCGACAAATCGATAAGTACCGCAGTTTTAGTAAATACCGACAAACCGATAATTACCGTATAGTTTTTATGTGTATCGTATATGTATCCATGGTGATAAAGGCAAGATGGTACTAAATAGAAAAATACCTCAGTACTCCGTCTGTTCTATAACATTTCATAGACAAGCGAACCCATAATACCCTCCAGAGCCATGTCGTGTCTAGTTTTGTACACCTTAGTCCGTGTAACGTATTAGGTATTTACAAATACCGTTATATTGTATAGTAAGTAAATATCGTATAGTTGGTCAGTACGAAAAATTAAAATATGTTACTCAGGTACTTATAATATATCTATTTCATCAATTATTATGTAAATTAACAAACATTTGATGAAAATAAATTTCAAAACAAATTTAAATTGGCATAATTAATAGTTATTACCAAAAAGATGGTATTTATTAAAAAAACGGAAAATAATAAATACAGTATTCATCGAAAACACGGTTATTTACTGAAAACACGGCATTTATCGAAAAGACGGTATTTACCGAAAAATATCGACCTACCGGTATACTAAAAAAAAATCAGTATCGCGAAAACGGGTTAATAGAAACACTTTTCAACTTTAAAAGTTTATATCTTTGGAATGGAAAAAACAAAACATCATATTAATAGCTTAAAGTTGGATCTTTAACCATACAATATGATTATTAATAATTAAAAGTATTAAATTTCAAAATTGATTTTATATTCTATTTTCAGTATGCTGTTTTTATGTAAAATGTAAATACAATATCGAATACCGGTGGGTCCATTCTACATACCATCAACTCTAGCTTTATCGCTTCACTCGGAGTATAAAATCTGTATTTGAAGTCAAATCTAATCTCATCTGTCTATGCAGAAAATATCAATATCAATTTATTTATTTTTTATACTTTCAGGCTATACCGATATACAACTCATGTACATTTTTCAATTTAACAATCAATAAATCATGGTGTAAATTGACCATTTTAAACTAATTAATATAGTTGATAAATATTTGTGTTTCAAACATTATGTAATCCATTAACACGTTTAACAGGTCGTATTATCAAACATAATTATCACTAATAATAAATAACAAACCACCGCTTCATATTTTGAGTTCATTAATAACTATACAATATTATTGGTATTATATACTTATACTTGTATCAATTTCAGTTTATTAATATCATTTTCATTTTGTTATGTTTTTATACCAAATTTATAAGCAAATAGTTAGCAAAATAACTATTGATGCAGAACATACCTATTATACCCAGGGCTTTTCAACTTGCGATTGTGTATTTATTCCTGTCTAAAATACATAATATATGTTGAGATAACAGAAGAAACGGAACACCTGTCACGAAATTGTAATATTAAAACACATAATAATTACTAATAAGTAATAACAATACAGTTTTAGAGTACTACGATGTTATTAAAACGTTATCTTTGCCAAATATTGTTTTACATTTTATTCAATGATCGACGTAATTTTTCAGTTTTCGTATTAGGTATTTTTGATAAGGTGTCTGTAGATTTCAAATACAGATTTATACTCTAAGTGTAGCGATTAAGCTTTTAGTTTCACTAAGATGTATTTTTTTTCGGAAAATATATTTTTGGTCAGCAAAAATTCTCAGGTATTTCACGCAGTACCTAAAAGACGACCAATTTTTGTCTAATGGTATTTTATTTGAACAATTTTTCAAAATTCTGAATATTTTTTTTTAAAGTTTAAAAGATGACAAGAAATGACTATTAATTTATTTAATTTTTGTTTCCGAGTTACCTTGTTTAATAGGCGATCCGTTCGGAATCGGAATTGAAATAATCTTGAAGTTAATTTATCAAGTACCTTAAGTTTTTTTTATTAAATTCAATTTTTTTTAAATATATAACAATTGGGTTTATTTATTTATTATAATAACAAAATGCACTGTTAAAAAAACAATATAGTTGTTACTTTGTTAGGCAATCGTGTCGCTTGGTTCCCTTCTGTAGTGCTGTTGCATTATTTTACTACAATAATAATAGCTACGGTGTATTTTTTTTTTTGTAATAATAAAGCACTACAATTCCGAGCCTTCGATGCGAATAATTTCTTTAGTTTACGTACTTGTTTTACTTGTTCAATCTTAGTAGTAACAATAAGTAAAAAAACCCAACGAACTCCTTAAAATATTATCTAGGAATGTATATTTTAATCGCAAATAGTTTAGAGCATTTATAATATTGTGCAGCTGTATAATACGAGTACTAATATATAAAAGTGAAAAAAAAAAAAATACCACATGTTGCGTTAAATAAATTCTTAATAACGGTACCTACATTTAGATTCTGAGTTTAGTGAAGAAGTTATTATAATAGTTTTACTAAGCTATGTTTTTTCTCGAAAAACACTTTTTGTCATACCTAGTAATGACTAATAATGTTCCGATATTTCTATGCTGTAAGTACCTTAAAAGATGCAGCATTTTCGATTGATAGTAGATAATCTGATTATTATTATTATTTTTTATCTTATATATCTTTATTATTATTCACATCGTACTTTAAAAGATTCATTTTTTTTTTGACTGGTGGTATTTGCACATAATTTTTTCAAATTTCGACATTTAAAAAAACAACAAATAATCACGCCACGTTAGTTTTATTTTTGTGAAACAAAATTAATACTTCGAATTAAATCGTTTTTTATTACAATTATTTATCGTTGGTTCTATAATATTTAAACTTAACTATAAGGTACCTCCTATCCTTCAAAAATTTTAGCCTACAATATTGGTCTGTTGATTGAATACAAATATAGGAATCGGGGGGGTTGGGGGTTGGGACAGGAACAATAATTTTCATGAGAAATCATAAGCATTACCATATTAATAATTATTAATTTAAAATAATGATAAACCATTATAAATTGTATTTATTATGAAATATAAATCATTGTATGTTTACATTGTTAGATGTTTAACAAAAATGTTATATAATATTTTCCAATTTCTTTTAAATTTAAAGGGAGTCGTCCCCCTCTGCTTATCCTCTTTCTGTTGCCCGTAGTGCGAAGTATGTCCGGATTTTTATTTTGAAAAGGTTAGGTTTATTTTTATAATTATGTATGTATACTATATGGGTATGTAGAATCGTAGATATTAAATTATATCCGAAATCATACTATTTAATAAATTTGTTTTAATTTTTAACACTTTATATGTATTTCATTGAATACCTTTATATTTTATTGATACACGTTGGTAATGAATTTAACGAATACAAAATATTGCTAATGACTTTGGAACAATAATAACGCATTCATAAATAACATTCAGCCATAAGTTTCTTACATCGAACAAACAAATGTAAATCACTTAAAAACTACTTACTTTTTATACTTTGCTATACGTTGGACGGGTCTGAAATCTAAAAAGCCTCTATATTAAAGCTAACAATCCCTTAATAGATATAAATTGGAAATGTTTTATCGCCATTTTATGAGGTTCATTCGAATATATTGCGTGTTAAATAATAATGATGTCCCGGTCTTTTTATGTACTCGCATTCTTTTTTATTATAAAACGTTAAACTTGGGAGTTTTTACAAAACTATTTTTGTTATAAATAACCTTAAAATGTTTTGGATTATTATTTTCTAGAACCTGTGTATTCGCTTAATATTTAAATATTTTATTTGCATAAGTGTAGATAAGATCTATTTATCTATGTAGTGTGTTAACAATCGGATTTTGTATTCATTTTCCTTAATTAAATGGAAAATATTCAATATTTTTTTGAACACACTTGGGGATATACAGATATACTTTTAAAATTCGAAAGCTATCTACGGTCTCATGATGCCTAATAGTTTAATGATTTAATTTTTTAAATTAATTTTACTGTTAGACAAATATTATACAAAATCCAGTTTGTCGTTTAATGATACTGTAAACCTATATATTACCGATATGCCATACGTATTAAGTAATATGCAATAGTACAATTCAAACAGATGGATAATACTATTATAAATGTTTTATCCACGGATGGTGATAATTATATTGAGTCTACAGATGCATTCGATCACGATTAGGTAAATATTATAGTTTACGTAAATGCAAATTATGATTATTTTTAAATACATTAAATTACTGTTCAATGTTAAAAATGTTATGAAGGGAAATCGTTTTCAAAATTATAACTTATAAAGAAGTCATGCCATGCCATTTTATTTCGAAACTCAACCTTTGAATCCTTCTCTAAAAATATATTAAAAAACAAAACATCTAAAATCACTGTTGTTGGAATATTTTAATATAATTATAATTTTTTGCAAAATACTCTGTATAGTACATAATGATCATTTAAATATTTAATATTGAAATGTATTTTTAAGTCTCGTTATTGTATAATGTATTTACACAAATTAAAAGAAGTGGCGATTATAGGTTACACAGGCTTTTCTTTTGTTATTTGGTGTAATAATATTTATTGTTACTATATAATTTTATTTCGTTTAGTTTCTATTGTAGTTCTGTACATTACAGAAATATTAACTATACAAAATTATAATGTATATTAAATAAATATACATTATACAGTATACAGTCGTCTTAAATTCGTATAACTAAAGTGAACTGTATACAGGGTCTTACAAATTATATATTACAGTTTTGAGAGTAGGAGTTACGTAGGAGTAAATTTTGTACTCCCACTCTCAAAAGTCAAAACTGTAACATATAATTTGTTAGACCCTGTGCCAATATTATAAAGTGTTATCTTTAAGTTTAAAATCTAATTTACACAATGTTTAAAATCAATATTTGATTTAGTATTTTTTTAGGACATAATATTGTGTATGTAAATAATATAAGTAATTTAAATACTGTTTTAACATGTATTTCATATTATATAGTTTTTTGTTGTCTATTTTGAAATACATCTAATTAATTCTGTGACCTACTATAATGACAATGAATAAGGATTGCTAAAATGATCATAATATTATCATTGAACAATATGTACAATTATAGTTCGAGCAGGTGTCAAAACAACTTATTATAGTCTATACTACGCTATAGCTAATAATTAATAAGTAAATCTATAATACGTACCTAATTGGTAATTAATAACCTCTGTTATTATCTATACATATATGCGTATATATTTTTTTTAATCGAATATAGACAATTAAATTTATTAGGGTGCCATGCTGCATGGTATTGTGAAATTTGGTATTTTTTTTTACTCTATTACATAAAATAGAACAAAAATAGAACCATGGTACGGCTATCGGTAATATATTTTAATATAGGTACCATGTTGTTTTACTTATGTATCTGTGTTAAGTTTAATGGAGCTTTAATGGTAATATTTTGTTATCTGACTATAAAAATGATGTATACGTATACATTGTCATTAGTGTTAGTTAATCGTTTATTTTTTATAAATGTATGCGTTAAAATTGCAAAATTAAATATTTCAAAAACCCATTACGTAGGTAAACAAATTCATATTAGTTTGTGTTTATATACTAAAGCCCTTACTTAAAAGTTATTCGAAACCACACCCTTTGTTTTTAAAAATCACAATGGACCCTCAACCCCTGTAGCTATACCTATCATTTCAAACGGGTGTGGTACTATATCCTCTCTTTTATTGTACACAGTATTCGATAAGTAATTTATTGTCTTATAATGGAAAATTTGAGTTACCATGCCGTGATACACATCACATCATATGCTCCCTGGAGGCGCTATTTTTACTTTTAAGTATCCTCGGAATAATGAAATGTTATTGTATTGTTAATAAACTCTAGTGTCCATCAAGTAAATATAATACTCTATTTCAAAATGAGACTAAGAAAATAAAAAAAAAATCTTGAAAATTATTTGTATCGTATATCTTATTTCAAATTCAGGTATAGAGATTAGAAGAGAATTGTGCTGATGTAATAATCGCAGCTATAATATAGTTAATATTATGGAAGATTAACTTGTTTCAGTTTTGTTTTCACGTGGGTAATCAAAAATATATTTTAACAGCGACGACAATAATGATTTAATATGATTTTGGAGAAAGGAACAATATTAATATATAGTAGTTGAGTAATGTTTTTTTTCTAACAATAACTGCAGAGGAGAAGATTATGTAATGCGAATTATGACATTTTTTTGAAAAATTATGACAAGGAGGAATTTGTAAATTATACATTTGTAAGTTATAAGTACTATACTTATACTAGTATTATACTATTACTATAATATCAATATTATCATGGTTGTTCCGAAATATGTTTCCTTAGTTTGGTACATAACAATTTATTTATTGATTATTTTGGTTCATATTTTGTCTAAGATATTTTTAATCGAACAATTACATATAATTTGTTTTTTTAAAATTATAATTATATATTAGTAAATTAAATGAGTAGTTACATAAATGATTCACTTTTAAATATTTTTCTTAATTTATTAAATTATTAAAATTATAGTACGTACTCGTATTTAGATAGATACTACAACTACTATTTAATTACAAATTTTTCTATAGCAGTTTGTAAAGATAATTAATTTAAATTACTTATAAGTTATAACACAGTATAAGTATAAGTTATTATTATATGTTTAATAATTTAAATGAGAAGGTAGTTATGAAACGGCATAAGATAAATAAGTACCTATAGGTATAACTAAATCAATATACCTACTCATTTAGTTGAAATATTATATTAATGTTATCTTCAAGATATTATTGTATAGGTTAGGTAGATAAATAATTGTTTTTTTTTTAATAATAATTTTTACCACATAGCGTTTCGTTTTAGTTTTTTCGTATTTATTTTATCCAATTTTGTAATCAAATATTTAAACACAAAATATTTGGTGTATAATATTGTTTATTAATGATAATGTGACAGATAATAATTAATAATTTATAAATACCTAATATAGTAATTACTATGCCACCTATTGTGTTTTAAATTAAATTTAGCCTGTTACAATTAAAATGTTGAGGATCTGCTTGATACAATAGATAAATTAAATTATAGTTTTATTAGTAATATTATATTTTTGTAATTTAGTCGATATTTCCTTTTTATACACGTTCATAATAATAATCATATTTTGTACATGAAACAAATTGTCGTATCAATTCATTTTTATATTTTTAGAAATATATTATATTAATATGCAGTGTGCCATTATTATTGTTAAAAACTATAAAAAAAAAAAAAAAAAAAAACAAAAGTTAACTGCAGTGTTAATTATTATTAAGAATTGTTCCGACTGTTCCGAGTATGTCATTACTAACTTTTCAAAAATATAATTCTAGGTATTAATATATTCATAATATTTTATATTATTTTGAAGTAATAAGATAATTTGTGTTACATGATGTTAATTTAGTATTTGTTTTCGTTATGAATTTTGTGTTCGCATGCACAGAGTTGCATAACGATAAGTCCATAATTACATTCACCTGCATAGGTTATTTATATTTTTTTGTCTCTACAATAGCAATTGTGTAAGAACGAAATAAATTATTAATTTCAATTTGTTCATTATGCGTGTTATAGGCATCCATGAATTTGCCTGCGGACAAAGCAAAACTCTTGAAACAATACGACGACGAGAAAAAATGGGATTTAATTTGTGATCAGGTATATATTTATTATTAATATTTTGTACGATATTCAGTAGTAAATTAATGGTATTTTTTATTGCACGATTAATTTTTTTTATTATTTAAGTGTTTAAAATATTATACCCACGAATGGCAAGCCCTAAAAGAGTTTTATCACTAAAACGAGAAATGTATTCAACCGAACATGTTTGTTGTCTGTATATATTGTATAAAGATCTAGTATCTATATCATGGTGTGATAAGAAATTTAAAAATCAGATTTGGCTATGTTAGTTTTTCCGTTTCACGTACCTATTATATCTGACTTAGGTTGTCAGTCGTCTCTTAGTTAGAATTTTCAACTCGTAATTTTTGGCATTTAAAACATTGCCAAAAGTCTATTAAGAACCATTTGATTGTTGTATACACAGTTTGAAGGAGAAAATAAAAAATATGGGGAAGTCGATAGTGTAATTAAGTGTCAACTGGTAAACATGACGAATAATTCAAATCCGATTTTCTTAACGTATCGTTGGTGGTGGACATACGTCATGCCAGACGAGCAAAAAGTACATAATATTATATGATATTATTACACTCATGGCAAAAAATAATACCCGACAGGGCGTGGGTGGCATGCACGTGTGCGTTTGTAGTAAAGCATGAGAAAATCACATACCTATTATTCATTTAGTATACGCACACGCATGCATTTGAATTTTATTATTACCCGTGTTCAACAGTTTAAATTCTTTGAAAAGGATTTATTAGTAATTGTTTGTAATTTTTATCTAATTAATATAAGGAGTTTCACTTTTTGAAAATAACAACACAAACCCCGATTAATATGCAAAAACATTGTTTACGCAGAATAAGTAAAAATATTGCTTAATTTTGATTTTAGAGTAAAAGTACCTATTATAAAATTTGTAGAAAACAATATTTTGGAGAGAATATCATAGGGTTTTTGTATTATTCAAAATATACAGCTTGATATAAAAGATACAAAAACCTTTTTTTTTTTTTTCTAATAACTGTAACTTTTTTATTAGTTCATTATTCAAAAAATATCTATAGCATTCGCATAAAATATTCTTCCAAAATATTATTCTCTATAAATTTTATAATAGGTATTTTTACTTTAAAATCAAAATTAAGCTAGTTTTACTTATTCTACGTATAAGCATTGTTTTTGCATGTTTTCCGGTAGTTGGACTGATATAGTAGATGTGGTTTTAATGTCCTCTTAAGTATGTTTTTATACGTTTCAACGTAGACAATTATTGTTCAAACGTACTTGTTATACCTTTATTGCTAAAATTAGTAAAAGCTAACTAATATTTGGTCTAACCGTAATTTGAATGACTATTTATAAGGGGAATCCTGGGCCCCCTCGTCTCCCTCCATTGAATCCGCCACTGGAAAACAGTTATGAAATGATTCTTATCTTTCACAGTTTTTTGCGTGTTACTTAATTCTTGTTTTTAAACTTAACAGAAAACAATATTTGTAACGAACAAAATCATAAGAAAAATTGACGATATTTATAATCATAAAATTATATAATTGATTGATAATATAAACATCGTTTTCAGATCAATAATGCACTAAACAAAATATAATATTACAGCAAGGTATGTAAAAAATGATCAAGGTCTTTTTTAGTCGTATATTTTAGATTTTAAGTGGATTTCGATCCAGGAATATGTTGTTTTAAAATGCTGTTTATTAGATTCCCAGCGTAGCGAGGGAGCTATTGGTTTTACTAAGATGTTTATTTCTTTTTTCTTTGTTCTAGTCTGTGGATACGTTTTTTCTTAGCAAACTTGTTCCGATTTTTACGTGTAGCAACTTTTCTGAAACCTCAAGTTGTACAGATGGTACATTAAGAGGTTATTTTTGATTTTTATGTCATTTTTTAAATAAAAGTACTTAAGTGGGAAAAAACGTACAATTTCACGATTTCCTTATTTTGTAAAAACACGGATGACGTTTTTTACCAGGAAAAATGATTTAATCGAAAAATCACTAGACACCTTTTTGATTTATTTTCTAACGGTATAATCGCCAAAACTTTTGAGCTTTCAAGGAATTTTAATTTTAAGTAGTTTTTTGCTGTTATTCGGTTATAAATACACGTAATAAATAAACTTGAAACATAGTAATATTAATTATATTGGACTTATCTAGACGTGGTAAAATTTTCAAAATTATTGGACAACTTTAATTTTTTTACAATGCTACTTTATTTTTTTTTTATATACTGTAGACCACTTTTATCCTAGAAACTTGCTCCTATATATAAGTGTAGCACCTTTTCTGAAATTCAGTTTTATCTATTTGGTAATTACATATGTTATTTTTTTGATTTTTGAACCGTTATTAAAATAAAAACGATTAATCGGAAAAAAATACGATTTTGTTATTTTAAATAAGTACCTACCACGTTTTCTAGCACAAATATATCTCTAATTAAAAAACTCTAATGAACCATATATTTGTTGAATTTTTTTTTAATAAGCGTTTTGAAATCAAATTTAACTGAGAACTGTGCTCGGAATCGTCTTGTCAAGCAATGGTTTATCGTTGTTTACAGATATAAATGAAATAACCTTATGTATCTTACCTTCCTAACTTCTCACATACAACAGTGCCCGCTCCCATCCCCAGTATCAGCTCTTTATTTTTTTGTTTTGAAAACAAAACCTTGTTCTAAAATGTTGACTACAGTAAATTCACACAGAATAATATTTCATATAACTGCAGTAAGCTTTCCGCAACTGTGGCTAAAACATTACTATTTGGTGTGCCGAGTTCGACGATCCTTTTGCAGTCACGAGTATGAATGATTCGTTTTGTAGGTACTCGAAGCAATTTATTTTTAAGGCCGGCGTGTTCTTTTTATAAATATCATACACTCCGGGGTTAGTACAACGTTATTTATGTCACTTATATTGAATCCAAGTGATTCCGTCCCTGTATACATTCTCAAATATTTAGTTGTTTATTCAACAATTGTGTTTATTGTTTACTAACTATATAACAATGCCAGTTCCTGATGGATTCGTTACCATGTATTACGTTTTTAAACGAAAAATATATATATTTTTAATGTGCATTGTGCATGATATCGTAAATACAATCGCAACTCGTACTCATCGCACATTTTTTACTTTTATTACACGTGGTCTGTGTTCGACATACTATTGTATTTATATATTTATCAATAGGTAACCATAATAATTTTTGAAACAATTATATTATAAATATATTATAATTATTGTAATATATTATATTTAATATTTTAATGTTATTTATTTATGAATTGTGTGTCAACAAAAATGAAAACTCATCTAAAAAGCATGCGCATGCAATCATACATAGGTAGGTAGGTACTTACCAATATTAATAAAATGTATTCGAGTATTTAGGGAAATTAGGATTAATAGGTTTTATTGGAGAGATGTTTGAGATAAATAAATAATGGTAATAATAACAATGAAAAAAAAATTAAGTGTTGCCGTTAAAAAAATTCAAAGCCAAAATAAGTGGAAAGGTATACAATTACTACAGTAGGAAGCATATTACATTATAATATATTATGTTGTTGAAAAACAAAAATTATTAATTGGTAAGTTCTTTAAGTTAAAATCGTATATTATGTTAAATTTTGACGTACGGTGGATATTTCTTGGCGTATCGTCTTGGCAGTGAGTAGATAATCATTCTTATTACTATATAGTGTTTTGGAGTAGGAGGGGTTGCGTCTACGTGATTTTATAATATTATTATAATGTACTTCAACTTGGTGATGTTAGTACTTAAACAACCCTCTGATGATCGATAAACACGATATTTTTAAAAAATATCTCAGTAAAATATTGTGAAATCAATAACTTGTCGAGACTATCGACATTATAAAATTAATCTCTCCTTGTTGTTTTATACGAATAAAATAAAAATTGAGACAGAAGGTGATGTTATTGTATTAATATATATGTACATTAAACTGGTAAAATAAAAATAAAATTATATTTAAAAACTGCTCATTTCAAAAAGAATTATATGCTTCAACATTAAATTTGTTCCAATCGGTATGATGAATGTTTAGTATATGAATGTCAATCACGCAAAAAACGTATAAAAAATGTGTCACATCATGTTTTTAAAATCAAAAAAAAAAGTAATGTTTTTCTTCTTTGTATAGCCAATATCTGACGAATTAGTAAAATTAAGAGTTTTTACACAGAACGTCACAAGGCTAATCTACAACTATTGGTATCTGCTTTTTTTGTTCTGTCAGTGTTTAAAATTCGATGGTTTGTTTTTTAGTGTAAACATGTATTATATTAAATTAAAGTAATAAATGTTGTTTTATTTTGTAGAGATAACATTTTGTTTTGGTTTAAAATTGTATAAATTATATAGTATTTTAGAGACCAAATATTGATGTGTTTAAAATACTAACAATAAGAATAATAATCTATAATTTCATCAAAATATTTCATAGATATGCATATATATTCTTTTTTTTTTAATTTTATTATTTAACATAAAAATTAACAAAATAATAATAAAACAAACAAAAATAACGGTTTATAAAGATGTATAAGACAAGCACAAGATAATTAAATCAATTTTAATTATTTAAAGTATTAGAATCACCAAGGTATAATAAGTACAAATAATGAGTATTAATATATTATAATTTTTACTGTTAATATTTTATTCTATTAATTATTCTTTAAACAAAAACAACAAATTTATAAGAAACAAATAAACAATTAAATTATATACTTAGAATATTAACAAATTAGGTAATAATATATTATTTTAAATACTATTTTGTACTATGTTTTCTATTAAAGTTTACTTACCTTTATAGCATATAAATAATATAGTAGTTGGTTGTGTTTCAACGGTAAATGTGTATTATTTAAAGTACAATCTCCAGGGTTGAAACCTGAAATACTATAGTCGTGATTTGTCTGTATTTCAATTCAATGAAAATTAACTAAATTTTAATAATATTAAATATAAGAATTAATGTGTTTTTAATGTAGTAAAATGGTCAGAATCTATGTGAGTTTATTGTCAAAATAATTGTTTATATGAAATTATATAAAAACCATGTCTATTAGTTTATTATTAAAACTATTTTATTATTTAGCTTAGATAGGTCTTTATTTTCATTATTAGTCATGTAGCAGAGTGGCGCAGTGGAAGCGTGCTGGGCCCATAACCCAGAGGTCCGTGGATCGAAACCACGCTCTGCTAAACAAATTTTTTGCATTTTTTTTTTTCATTAATTTTTCCGTGATTTAAATTTTCATAAATATTCTAAATAGTATAATTTATTTTTATTCAATTCTTTTAACGTACCTTTAGTTATTTTATTCAATTTGACGTACAAATAGATTGTGCTTGCAAGTTAAATATTTTACGTATCATTTATATTATTAGATATTATATTGTATTCGAAATAGATTTTTTGTAAATTTTCTTCGGTAATCTCATTTTGGGCCTATTAAGTAAATTAAATTTACCAGAGCTGCACATTGAGCACACGAGCGTCGTTTAAAATTTAAACGGAAACAAATTTGTTAATAGCTTTATGCATCATTCCCACCAGTGTACAGTATACACTCTGGTAGAGCCGGATATTGTGTACTTACGAACACATCACTTATTATATATTATAGACACATGTCATCATATTACATTATGGGATTACGTCATTGCATAGATTTTTTTTTATACAGATGATGGTGTTTGTTTAATTATCATGGTTTCCCATCTTTTTCTTATTTTTTAAAATTTTTTTTCTAAGAACTTATGGTATATTACATAAAGGTCATATATATACATTTTTTTTTAAATTAAATTAAAAATTAATAATCGTTCACGATTCCTATACTATAATGAACACATTGAGAAAATATGTACATGTTTTTTTCAATAGTTGGTGTAAGGTTTCAACGGCAATTCAATTATAATATTATAGGTAATAATAATAATTACTTGTAATATTTTCCGCTGTAATTTATCCCCAACGGAATTTAAACGGTTAGCTACATAATAAAATACTAAAAATAACGTACCTAGGTCATAAAAAATGTACGTAGTATTTTAGTATACTGAGTTTTTGTAAGCATAAGATTGTGATATATTGCCCATTTATAATAGTGTAGGTAGGTATCAACAATAGGACTTAACGTAAATTACATATGAAAACACGTTTATAAAAACATATGTGTATGTCCTGTACTATATAGAGTTTACTAAATGTATAATTTTTGATTCTTAAATGTACGTTTAAACCAGGGTTGGTAAATATACGCGTATAGAACATTTTATACGTTACACGTATAATAGATACAAAATGACTAAAACTTATAAAACTAACGACTAAAACATTTTTTTTAAATTTTTTTATATAGTGATAATACTATAAATTTTAATAAGTATTTAATAAACTTATAAATTAATATAACAAATTGCATCAATTTGGTGAATTTTCTTAAATTTAGAATAAAATAAAAACTAAATAAATTTTTTTTGGTATTAATGTATTATATAAATATGAATGTAATTATTAATAAAGAATAAAGATGAACTTACTAATTAATATAAGATACAACATATAAGATATATAAAATGATGATTAAATTCAATTGACAATTATTTTACCTGATAATTTATATTCAGTTGTAGCAAAAAAAATTGTATACAGTATAAAACGTATGCAACTGATAGTTTTATATTATACGTTGTATACATACGTAGTTTTATACTTTACTGTATTATACGTTCCAACCCTGGTTTAAATTATACCTATACAATATTTTCACCGCAGACTGGAGTGAATTTCGTATACGGTTATGTTATACATGGTTGAACAAATAGTTTTGAGATTTTTAAAGTACTTCACTTGTAATATTGCTTTTTTTTTTCATTTAAGGCCAAATCATTTCCATAATAATGAACCTGCAGGTATATTTTTAATTAAATCTTTATGTTCAGTACGAATAAATCGTAACTGAATCTTAAATAATTATTAACTACCTATAATATAACTAATATTACTATGCATACTATACTACGGTGTTGGAGAGGAAAGGAGCAAATGCTATCATTGTCCACGACCCTGAATGTTCATTCATACTCTTTTTAGTATACTTAAATAGATAATATTTACATTATATTTGATATGAGTTATTATTATATTTTCTGTATTAAATATCATGAGTTTTTTTTTGTTTTATTATCATTGAGATTATAATATGTATATTATTATGAATGTACTTATTTTTTTATTTGTTAAAACAAAAATCGAACGTACATCGTAATTTTAGAGGAAATGTGTATAATATTATTATGATAATGAACACATCCTGTACAATAGTGTAACCGCCCTATGAATCAAGACGTGATTAGACCATTCAATTATTTCATTATTACGCACGGACGAAGAGAAAAGGTCAACGATTGCCCAAAACGTTATTATTACCAACTGAATATTTCATTATCGCACTTAATCATTAGTAAAATTGTTTCGCAAATAGTCAAAAACACCAAACATGTACAGTTATACGTTGGTAGTAACTGAAGTCACAGCTAGCATATATTCTGAAAACTAATTCGCTGAGAGTTGATAATCAACAAATTTAAACATTTTTAACTATAGAACTAGTATATTATGATGCATAAAAAGTAGCATTTTTAAAATTTCCGGAGGGGAAGGGGGTTTAATCCCAAACCCCCTATATGTGTTTGGAACATAGTAGCTTAAATACTAAATAAATTGTTTAAGAGATTAGATACCGAAACCAATGCGGAGCATAGCAATTTAGACCAATTTTCATGCAATCAACCCGATCGATGTAGTGAAGCGATACAAATTCTAAAAAACGGATTTTAATTCAGCGTTGAAGTGTTTAATATACGGTTAGCTTAATTTTTATTATTATTATAAAACAAAAAAAACATAGGAAAACGGGGAAAGATTACGGAAATAACAATTTCATTATTTTCGAATTTTTTTTTTTATTGTAGTTCGGTTAAAAGTAGTTTCAATTGTATTTGCAGTGATTGTAAAGACCCAACATTTTCACAGACTACTTGGTAGCACTTTCTAGATGTGATAAAATGTTTAAAACATTGTGGCTCTTTTGAGCTATTTATAGGCATTTGGAATTTTCTAATTTTTTTAGTTTTTATTTGGTTTTGTGTGAACAAATGGTTTTTGTTGCGTAGAAATGTTTGATAATTTAACTCGAGGTAAACAATAAGTTATTTTCGGTGGTAAAAAAAAAAAAATTAATAAACGTAGTATAGTAGATTTTTAAACGATTTTCTAAATTAAAATTTTTATGGAAAACATATTTAATTAAACTTCACTCAGAATCCCTTTTCGTTTGCAACGATTTATCGTTACGTACAGATATTTTGTTTAAATAACTATGCATCATATCTTCCGAACTTCACATAAGAATTATTCATGATCTAATAATTATTTTTTTTACTAGAATTATCATATCTGTTCTCAACTATAGGCTATATGACTTAATAATATAAAATTAACGCGAAGAGAAGAAAACAAAACATTTCTCGAACTATATTATTTTAATTGTTTAAAAATAATTAAAATATATTTCGATTAAAATGTACCGAATCGAATTGGCGTTTTTTTATAGGTACTTATATATAGATTACATAGATAAAGAAAAGGAACCGGTGACCTAGAATATTATCTTGATTAATAGTATATAGATGGTTTAGATTTTTTTCTTCGATAGTATCTACCTTGTACCCAGTACCTACCTACTTATACCTATTTAATTACTATAGAACTTCTGTTTCAGTTGAATTATTATGACATTTTTTTCATATTATGCAGGTGTTTTATTATGCACGGATATCTGACAAAATGCAATAACTTTTGTTTTGTTGATTATTTTTAAGTTATTATTTTTTGTTATAATTCTATGATTTTTATATTTTATAGTTTTTGAAAAAAATATTTTGATGTTACAAATGTTTACCGATGATTTGAACCAATTTGCTGAAGTTTAGGATGGTTTAAATTTTTTTCACTGCCACTACTAAATAATGTCAATCGAGTCACCAATTTTTCCATGAAAAAAAATATTACGTAGAATATTAACGACTCATCATTAATAATTATTTGTAAAATTAATATGTTGTTTTAAAATTGATTTATAAAATGGCCATCTTGGATTTTGTAAAAAAAATAATTTGTTATAATATTTAAATGACTTATTTATAGTTTTAAACAAATATATAAAATAGAATAATCACAGTGCAAGGTTATAGTAATTATTACAAAAAAAAAAAAAAAAAAAACTTAAACTAATATCGTATAGTATTCGGTAAAATAAAAGTATACCCATGGGAATCCATTGGTGATATTTCAGAGGGAGCGTCATGCATTTGAGCGAATTACTTTTTTCCCGCATAATAAAAACAGTGATGGTTTGGGCGAGTTCCTCATTATGTGTTTGAGGGAATTTCTAATAACGTGTTTATAAAAGATAAAATGTAAACAATACATATGTCATTCAATACCTGCATATCATATTGGTTACAATTGGTTTTTCTATATTATTAATTTTATAAGATAACAAAAATTGCGATTTTCTTGTAAGCAATATTTTATTGATTTAAAATTAATAATTATAGTTTTTCTAATTTCGGGTTTTAGTTATTAGTATTTAATACTAATTCCAAGTTATTAATAATTATAAGTCGTATACCAAATGTGGATTATAAAATTAAAAACGCTTTTATTACAAAACGAAATTAACGATGCATTTCAATTGAAAATGTTTAATCATACTCGTGAAATTTACAGTCTCAAGTCTGTCAAAATGAGAGGGATAATGGATCATTATAAGTTGCCCAAACACATTACAAAATTTTCTTCGTCTTAATACAATGACATTTTTATAAACTCGTCTAAACTCAAACCGCCCTTCAGAAGGAGTCAAAAAAAAAAAAAAAAACTTAAAATGTATAGTTTAAATATAAATTAAATTATTATTATCATTAAACTATTAATAAGTTCATATTTTTTCAGGGTAAGGGCAAGTACTTTGTTTTACTCCCCTTCATTGGCGCTTATGCCTATATCAACTTAAAATTGGATTAATTAATTTACTTTTTATCATTTCAAAATACATTAATAAAATATCATGTAATACGTAGTATACCTATTTAATGATGACGCGTGATGCGTATTCTGAATTGAAAACCGTTTTTTTGTTGGTTTTTTTTTCTATCATTAATAACAATAATTATTACTATTATAAGATAATGAAACGCATAGTCATTCGCAATACTTGAAACTATCGTTTTGAGGGTCGTCGCCGGTGCGGTATTAATGAGTTAAATAAATTATAAATTAAAAAAAAATATATTTATAATGTCTTAGTAAATACATATCTTCCTGTTGTAATGACTATAATGACTGATTTTATGAGTAAGACAATTAATAATAAAAAAAAGAAACCAAAAATGAATTGATTATTTTAATATTTATAATGTGAAAAACATGTAATTTACTGTATTTGCGGCACATAAATAATTTATTCGTAATTCGATGAAATATTGCAATGGTAGCTATTATATTATTATATTTATATTCACCAATATGTATTATTATTGTATTCATTCGTTTAAACGAATTGCATTTTGTTTTTTTAAACAATTTTGCCGTACAATATTTGTTTGAAATTATTTATACACGTATTGCACGCGTATACATTGCTATGTCTAATCAGCATATGTAATATTGTAATATAATTTGTATATTTCGTGTATACAGTACACTCATATAATATTGTAAAGAGTATACTAAATTGCATTTAATAACTTTGTTTTTAATATTAGTATACGTTTCAGCGCTGCTGTCTGCTGCATTCGTATAAATAACTGAGTACGTCCAGAATGTGCATTTACAGTTTCTATGCGAGTTCGACCCAAGCCGGAAATATTGTATCCAGTATGGTTTCAGAAGGTTTTAAGAGGTTTTAGGAGTTGTACAAAACGCATAGCCTGCTTGTTGGTTCAAAACTGACACTGTTCTAAGGAAGTTAGAGTCCTATATGTGTAAACCTAAACCTAATCAATGAAAAACCATAATTCGCATACCGCTTGGGTCGAACTCGGATACTAGTGACACACTGGCAAATTTTAAATAGGGAGGGAGGTGAAAAAAAAACTGCCAATACATTACTGGGGTTTTGTACATGTTTACTATGCATAGCTATAAATATCATGCTCCTCGCAGCCACTGTTGTTGGTGAAAAGTTGGGAAGATAAGACATATTGGGTAACTTAATCCATATCTATATGCTACAATAATAAACCGTTGTTAACGAAAAACAATTCTGAGCGAAGTTTATTTAATCATGTTTTGATAAACTTAATAAACTAATAATCTAAAAATATACACCATTAAGACTAAAGCAACATAAACATGAAAGAATTATGATAAAAACATACTATCAATGGGAGGCATGCATATCGTGGCCCCCTAACTATACATTTGACAGATACGGTCATTTAAATACAGATCTCGATCTGTTCAGTTCGATCATATTCCGAACAGCTTAATCGAGATTTTAACTTACTGACGGTACGATTAAATCGCGTAATTTCTATTCGGTCGTCACGAACGCGTGTTTTGACACCCGTATTCGGTTAATTATTTCGTCATAGTCGTGGTTGCACGATGGATACTACGGACTGATATGGAAAACTGAACTGCAAACGGCCGTTTATTATTGGTAATATTTAGGCGTATTTTGACGATTTTGTTTTGAGCAACCCTGTTACTAATTTAGAGAAAAAACGGTTTTGACAGCTATTTTTTGCCATCTGAAAAAGTTAATTTTCAACCTTCAGGTTTACCGGAATCAGCAAACAATTGGAAACTACATTTACTTAGTCGTCGACTACTGGGGTTATTCATTGGTAAAATGCTGTTCTATTAAAAAAAATAAAAAAAATTACGTTTTAGCGATATTGTGACCAAGTAGCGAACAACGCAGCAAATTGCAGTTTACCGAAAACCATATTGTGAAAACATGCTTGTTATATTATTTACGGGCTAATCAATTCAACCGAACCGGACTGAATGGAACGGAGTCAGTGTGTTCGCTCTTCTTAAAACGGAACAGTAACACAATATTCGTACATTTATTATTTTGTTATTGGTATTATTTTGTTTCGGTGTATACGCCAGGACTGTTAATAAGCAAATTAATTAGCGCGTTGTTCCGTCCGTGTGTGCGTGTGTATAGTTTTAGTTTAAAATCGTTTAGTTTTTTTTTTCCCTCAGCCATTTACTTACACGAAAGCGGTCGACTGTGACCACCCTCCCTGTTTATAATTTTGGGTTACGTGTGTAATACGGTCCAGCCCGCCACGAAACATTGTGGGTGTTCATTATATTATTTACGTGAATGAAAAAATGAACAACGAATAGATCATTTATATTGCTTTGGACCAAGTGTTTAGCTGCTGCTGCAGTCGTTTGAAACTCGTATCCGTACCGACTCTGCCATATGCACTGCACTCGTGAACCCTACCGCGGCGTGAAACCAGTTTGTAATAATAATATTTTCCCGGCGTTTTGAACACCACCGTCATCATCTCGAATACATACCGTCAGTTATTCATCAAACGGTCCATTTTTTTTCTCCGTTAAATTATAATATACAATTCGTGACACTGTTTTTATAAATTATCGTGTTAGCCGCCACGGTGGTTCACCACAGAATCGAAACGTACAATTCTATACAATATCAAACTTATCCGCCTATTTAATAATATCCGCGCGAATATAATATTTTGTTCGCTTTAAAATATTTAAAACGTATTATTATCGTAATATCGTAAATCCGCATCACAGTCGGTTTCGTTGTCTTATTTTTTACCCCATTGTATATACAAGTACTATATTATGTACATTGTTGAATATCAATTGAGTACATGTATACATTAATAAAGAGGCTAATTCTATATAGGTATCCAGTATAATTTCGGACGTTTTTATTATATTATTTACTATCGTTTCTGTATAATACCGAGTATTTTTTCGGCATATTTAGTTTCGTTTCGGCGCAGCATAAAATAATATGTGTAATGTATATATTAAATCACCTAAGCCGCTTGTATTTTGATTCAGGCACGTCCTATTCGTAAAATATTATATTACATTTTATTTATTATGTAATATTATCGCGTAGGACTGTGTGGTATCGTTAGGCTGGCTTTCTATTGGGGGTCGGTTTATATACGTGATTTGAATATCTTCGGCATTATAAATATTATTGTTTTAGGTATACGGCGGTTTTTAGACTTGTATTATTGTTAAGGGGCCCAGTAACTAACATGTTTTGTTTTCTCTGTCCATCGCGCGCATAATATACAGCAACAATAAAAAGATATTTTGCATTTCAATGATCGTGATTCTGATGGTATTGAGTTTAGGGCACACAGGGACCTCGTATTATACGTTTCATTAACAAGAGTAATGTTTACTGAGTGGATTTAGGGAAAGATTTTCATTTTTTATCAAGATATTTAATGGTTAAAATTAAGTGAACAATAAGTTAAAAACACAATAGTAATAATAATAATAATAATAAAAATAATCATTTGTAGGACCCTTAAAATGTATAAAAATTAGGTTTATTTGTCCTAAACTCAACTTGCAGAGTGTCATAGTAGTGATGGGAAAACGAAATACTTTTGTTGTTATATTACGCGAGACAGACAGAGAAAGTAAATGTTAGTGCAGAGGACGTGATACCCGCATTTACAGTTCAACTAATGTGCAACATTTAGGTTGTAATTAGAGTTAAAACTTGAATTACAAAATTTAAAGTGAAGAACATTTTCAAGTGAACTACGTTACTTTTTCCTAAAATATTGTCAACCAAAAGAAGTTTTTGTTTTCATAAAATATCTGTACAATAGGCATTGGCGCAATTTGGGGATGCATAGCACCCCTAAATTTTTTCTTGCAATAGAAAGCTTATCAATTTTTAGGCCACATCATCGCCAAATGCAACAATGCATATTTCAAAATTTGACAAAATAAGATTATCAATGTTAATAAAACAAGTGATTTTGAGCATTTATTGATCAGGGAAATTTTCTATGCGATTAGCGATTACTCTGTTATTAACAAAAATGTTAATATTATTAATTGTATCATTCTTATGTACCAACATAACATTGAAAAGCCCCTCCTGAAAAACTTCAAAACTGAGATATTAAGCATTGTTGTACTTAAGTGACGATATAAATGATCAGCTGTAGGATTAACTATTTCTATAAGCTCGGCTACATGTGAAAGGTCTTTTTCATCTATGTGCCGTATAAAGAATTGACTTAGGACAAGCATGGGACAAGCAAAATTTACAGATTTATCAGTTATTAATATTGGGAGAGATCTAAGCACTAAAGTTATAAAATAAAAAATAATTTTGTTACGTCACAAAAACGCATATCTTTAATATAATATTGAAATAAAAATAAAAAAGTGTACTTAATGATCATATTAAGTTAGTACGATGAATGTATAAATGATTTGAGAAGGGGTATGGGGGAAAAGTCCCCACAGGTCACTTTGGTCAACATAAATCTAGCAACTTGTTACATTTAACCCGAATTGCACCTATGACCATGGATTGGCCACTACAGTTGAAGATGGTAAGTTTGAAAGATATAGGATACATATAGGATAATTTAGTTTATATACGCAACAAGGATACATCATTGCAATCGAGAAAGACGATTAAAAGCGAAGCTGGTAAATATGATGTTATGATAAAGCTATAATAATATAGTATTATCCTTTTGTATTCAAGATAACCTAGAAATCGACAGAAATAAAGCCAATATATCATTATTATTTTGTTTTTAGTTTTTAAATTATTTTTAGAAAACTTGTTGAAAATGTAGATTTATTTTTCTCTTTCAAATAAAATACTACCGCATCCGGTAATCCGCATATGTAATATAAGATTGAATTTGAGCATATTGACTAATTGAAAATATGAAAAAGTGTTTTCCACGGAGAAAAAACACATCTTATAACTAATTTAGTTTCTTCTTCACACTCTGAATCTAAGATACACTACGATTTTAATTCTGTACAAAATCACAACGATAATCTCAGAAATTTTTAATATTGTATCCATTTTGGTACATATAATTCGCAAGTTTGTTGTATATTTTAAATTTGTCTATATTATAATTCACTCTTTATGGCTGCAGCAAGACCTCGGTTTTAATTATTTATTAATGTATATGACATTGGCTTATCTAGGTGTTTTGTTTTGTTTTGTATTTTTTTTAATTCTTTTGTTCCAAACTTGAAATAAATTCTTAATTGTTACATAGATATTTAACTTATTAACGTATTAATATAAATGCGATACCTGCGTAAACATATAATTTAAAGCTAATAATTCCTATTTATATAAATATATTATTCAAACGAATTAAATATTGTTTAAATTTTCGTTTTATAACGGGTAATGTACATGGGTAACGTCGTAACAATTTAACAGTAACATTATTTATGATAATGTGTGAAACGCGCCCAATATTTCTCAAAACAATTAAAAAACGGGGAAAACATAATACAGATTCAATAATTTTGATTTGAATACGAACTCGCGAATTTCATTAAAATTTAATCAATCAGTACTGTACCTATTATATACTGATTTTTAAATTGTTGTGTAATTACATTGTATTATACGTACGCCTTTGTAATTAAATGTATTTTATGGGGAAAAAAAAAAAAACATTCATTCATCCATTTTTTTCATGCTATAGTGTTAGTATATAGTAATGTTTATTATTTCTAGGATAACTAGGTTTACTGTGTTTACAAACAAGGTTGGTTTATAATAATATTATTATCGCCGTCAGTATGTCCTAGAGATAAATTCGATCTTCTGTCGTTGGAAAGTATCGGTCTATTATAATATACATATTATAAAACCAAAACCAATATGTTATTTTATAACGAAAGGTATTCATAATATATTATCGTAACTTTTATGTGGGCAGTGTATATTATATTGTGAGTCATAATTCCCCGTTAACCTCCTCGGTTAGCTCTCAGTCGAGGTCAACCGTTCGCGTTGAATCTGCATCTTAGCGCTGCGAAGGGAAACCATTTAATACATATAAACATGTACGTACCTACTGACACTTCACTTGTAGCATATTTATAATATTTATATATTTATTTTTCTTGTACCTACTCGTCTGATAAAAATACGGTATGATGTCAGACTACGAATAATGGCCAATCCAAATTATTTACCACGAATATTATTTTACTTTATAATTGTATCGTATGCAGCAAAAAAAAAAAAAAAAAAAAAAAAAATAATAATAAGAATAAAAAAATCTAACAGCACAATAAAATATGATGTGATATGATAACTATATGTGTGCTGTTTTAACATCCTGCATCACTGCAATTATTCGCATATAAACACATTCTGTTTTATTATTTTTTTTATTACTTTTATAATAAAGTTTCCAACAATAAATTGATTCAATAAAATAAACATCACTCTTGTATTTCATAGCTAAATTTGATAAAAGATATTTATAATATTCACTCATAACGAACATATTAGTACATTCTTTAAATTGTGGGCTTGGTGTAATAATTGAGAGTCATTACTCATACCAAGTACCTATTTAGAATTATTTACAAGAAAAATTAAATTTTCAATTATGTTTAAACTTTTAAAGACAAATATTTTGGTTTTGGAAGTTATAAAATATCAGAATGTAAACCGTACACCAATTAATTATTTTAACAAATATCCCAATATTGAGAAAAATAAAATTCTAAAATAAGTAATTTCTTTTTCTTATTATTATTATTAAGTTTACATAATTATTTTTTTGAGTAATTAAATTTTTAGAAACCGTGTGTTTTAATTTTTATATTTTAATTGATCTGTTTTTTTTTTTTTTTATTAAAGTAATAGCGATAGGTTAATATTGTCAGATATGTACTATAATTGGTATCGATAAAATAATAATACTTATATGACTGACCAGAATATATAGTTATTATAACTTTGAACAGTTCGAACAGCATATTAGTAATAAACATAATAGTATTTTCGGTTTTCTCTTGTGGATTTATATATATATATATATTATACAATATGGTACGATCATTTTTTATTTTTTAATGAAATCTCTCTCTCTCTATATATGTCAATTCCACATATATCATCTGTACAAAACATTTATATTACTTATTATTCGTTTACTATTTTATATTTTTATCATATTTAATTTTTAAAAAATTTAGTTTTTTTAGAAAATTGTTAAATTGCCTTTATTATATATTATCAGAATTTAAAATGATTGTTTATTGTTTTTTTTTTCAGGAAAGGGTTCAAGCAAAAGACCCACCAGCCCATTATTTGTTTAGACTCCGTACATATTTGGATCCAAAAGCTTCTCGAAGTTCAAGAGTAAGTGAGTTTTTGATTAAAAAAGAAAATATTATAATTATCAAAATAACTGTTTATAATAATTCCATTTACACATTAATGAACAAAATGTGTTGTCATTTAAACAATCTCTTATATTTATATATATATATATATAAAAAAAAAAACTATAATATTTTATACATTATATATTTTACAGAAAAGAAAAATGGTTGGCGACGCCACTTCTACACAGGTGTTACGAGATCTAGAAATATCTCTGAGAACAAATCATATAGAGTAATATTTAAATTTATGTAAATATACAGCGTGATCAGAAATTCATGTTTAAAAAATAATCAGGGATAAACATAAATTAAGACCATCACCCTTGAATGCAATATTTCAATGCCTCTCTCATCCTCGTAGAAAAATAAAAGATTGTTTTAATAAATTTGTACATCGAGTGGCGGAAATTTTTGAGCAGTTATCATACAAGTGAGCACCACATATATTTTCTTAGGTCTTGAGCCATGGCCACATTCCCAATTTTGAAACCTGTATCTAGTTTAAGATTGCGTACACTTTTTTTTATAAATGCTAACATTGTTATGCAATGTGAATTTTTGATCTTGCTGCAATATAATATTTAAATGCTGTATATTGAATTAAATTATAGAAATAACCAAATAATCTAAATTTCATAACAAATAGGTGGGTTCGTGAATTTCTTGATGATCAAAATCATGGCCTGGATTCACTGATTGACTATCTAAGCTTTAGACTGGTGATGATGCGGCACGAACATAGGGCTTGCATGGACGTGACTAATGTTTCAACTGAAAAAATCGCTCATGGTACCTTTCCTAGTTGGTTTTTTAAGTAATATAGTTTGTGAAATCATATAAATTTTGTTTTATTTAGTAGGTATTAATCATATGCACACAAATGGGATGAGTAACGGTAATACAACGAATCACACAAGACCTACTTTGGATATATTAAATAGCCCTGGGATCAAACGTAGATCAAGACATGCAGCAAAGTTAAATATGGGAGATACGAAAGACGATATACATGTTTGCATAATGTGTTTACGGGCTATTATGAACAATAAGGTGAAGTTATTAATTATTAATTTTTTTTTTTCAATTTTAAGAAACAAATATTTCAGTTGAAATTATTTTAAATCAGGATTTGAAGTTTTGTTTTACAAATACATTTAATATAAAATCAAAAATACCATTTGTTTGACCTAAACATTTTCTTTGTTTGTATATTTTATTGATTATATATTTGAACTTTAATCAAGATTGGTACATTTTTTTGCCAGTTTTGTGGCATTTTCATTAAGGTCTTGTGCATATTTTGTTTATGTAAGGAATGACCTTTAAAGGTTAATATGCATTTTCAACATGTGTGTATATATATATATGTATATTATCTGTTTCCTCATTACAATGTATTTAAAATAATATGTAGTGGACAAATATTCTTTACTGCTGTTACTGGAATTTTAATTGTAAAAGAAACAAATTACTATAAATAAATCAAATTTTATGAATAAAGTCTGTTAATAAATATACCTATCTTATTATATTTTGTATAAAACAAACACAAATATATTTTGGAAAATAAATAACAGTTATTTTGATTAAGGCCTCATAACAATTTTACATCAATTCCTTAATTGTAGAATACCAACAATACATTTTATATTTCAAAACAAAAATTGTTATTATAATTAAAAAAATAAAATATGTACAGGTAAAAGTTCATTATAAATTTATCAATTTATGTAAGACCATGATTTAAAGATTATATGTTTTTTTAGCATTTTAATCATTTTAATACATTGTTACACATAAAGTGTATGAAACCTACTTCAAAAAATGTATTTTTTCATGATTTAATTTATTGTTGCAGTATGGATTAAATATGGTCATTCAGCATACTGATGCAATTAATAGCATAGCTTTGAGTTTAATGCACAAGAGTTTGAGGTATATAATATTATTATGATCTGTATTATTATCGTGAATGTGTAATTTATGTGTTTGTTTAAATTTATTTAGAACAAAAGCTTTAGTACTGGAACTTTTGGCTGCTATATGTCTAGTCAAAGGTGGTCATGAGATCATTTTATCTGCATTTGATAATTTCAAAGAAATCTGCCAGGAAAAGAAACGTTTTCAAACTTTAATGGATTATTTTATAAATTATGAAGTTTTTCATATAGAATTTATGGTATATTCATATTTTTAAAGAATTTATTAAGTAAACTATAATATGAAAAGTATATTATCTGTATAAATAAAATGTTTAGGTTGCTTGTATGCAATTTATAAATATAATTGTACATTCGGTGGAAGATATGAATTTTCGAGTTCATCTGCAATATGAGTTTAGTACACTTGGACTTGATGAATACTTAGACAAACTTAAGCATACAGAAAGTGAAGAACTACAGGTTCAAATTTCAGCGTACCTTGATAATGTGTTTGATGTAGCAGCCTTAATGGAAGACAGTGAAACTAAAACCGCTGCTTTAGAAAAAGTTGAATCTTTCGAGGATGAACTTGCACATGTATGCATAATAATTTGTTGTTTTTTAAAAATAATATATCAATATATGTATATATATAGAAGGTAGCTGATAAATTAAATAATATTCATTTAAATTTTTAGGCTCATGATAGGTTAGCTGAATTAGAACGTGAATCATTAGCTCAATTAGCTGCATTAGAAAGTGCCCTTGGCATGGCTCGGGCAGAAAGAGACGCTGCAGCTGAAAGTAAACGTGCAGTTGAAGAAGAAGTAGCAACTCTAAGAAGGGTTGTTAATGATCAAAAACGAGAATCTCAATCTAGGCAGTCCATGTTAGAAGAAAAAATTCAAGAACTGATCTCACGAGGAGCTCAACCAGATTTAAGTAATTTAATTTTATTTGTATATATTACAGATTAAGAACTAAAGGCAAGAGTGATAATATAAACATTTATGATAAATCTTAAAAAAATATAATTTTGGTGTAATAAATGTTGGTATAGTTAACTAATAATTTATTATTATTGTTCAGGCTCTAGCAGTGGTATTTCGAGTTGTTCTTCAACGGGCAGCAATAGTATATCTGCATCTCCACCACCACCTCCTCCTCCCCCACCACCACCTCCATCATTACCACAACTAGCCTTTTCAGCTGCAGTGCCTCCCCCACCACCTCCACCAATATCACCAAAACCTGTGGGCATACCTGCACCGCCACCTCCTGCACCACCTTTAGCAGGCACAATGCAAGCACCAGATGGTGCTATGACAATTAAGAGAAAAGTATTAACTAAATACAAATTACCAACTCTGAATTGGGTTGCAATGAAACCAAATCAAGTATTTTATTAAATTTACACAATTTAAATTTGTAATTGTGCCTAACTTTTTTTCAAAAAAAAAATATAGGTCCGTGGTACAATTTTCAATGAACTAGATGACGATAAATTACATTCTGTAATAGACTTTGGTCAGTTTGAAGAGAAGTTTAAATTAACAGCTGCTGGTCGAGCTTTGATTAATGGCGATTCTGATCAACATGATGGATTAATGACATATCCCAGTAAGCGAATGAAAAAACAAGATAATATATCTGTTCTAGAGCATACACGTTTAAGAAATATTGGTTAGTATACAACATTAAATATTAAGTACACAAAATATATGCTAAATTATATTTTCTATTAGCTATTTCAAGAAGAAAACTCGATATGCCCATGGAACGTATCATAATGGCGGTAAATTCTTTAGACTTGAAACAGGTACCTTTGGAAAGTGTAGAAATTCTTCAACGTATGATTCCTACTGATCAAGAGGTAAATTGTACCATAATCAATTAACAAAACAATTAATCGAAAATTAGCGACCCGGTTTCATTGTTTTAATATGTTCAACTTCTGTTTTCTATCAGAAATATTACTCTAATAAAAAAATAACAAGAAATCGATAAATAAATTCGTTTTAACATATAGCCGCTGACAGAGAAAATTGGTTTTTGATTTTCTTTGCAGTTTTTTTTAGTAATTAAGCAAAACCAAAAAATACGTAAAAAGAACCATGAAATTAACGAAAATATTTTTTTATTTATTTAAATTTTGTTTTTGTAATGTTATTTAATTAAAAATATTCGCAGAGGCAGAAATTTTGACAGACATTATATCTGTCTTTTATAGACGTTGTTAAATTTTCAAAACATTTGAGCCATTTTTAAGTTATTAGGCATTTTAATTTGCGAGTTTTATAGGTAATTTTAATTTGGTAGGTATTCTATAGTGTAGATAAATTGTTAGACCTAACAGAGATGCTTGACAATTTGATATGATATTCACTATAAGTCGTACTTAATGGAAAACCAGAATTTAGTTTAATGTATTTTTTTTTTAAGAATTTTAAAATCAAATTTTAACGAGAATCGTAAATATTAAGGCCTTTCAAAAATGTATAATTGAACTTGTTGACGAATATAACCGAATCGGTTATAACTTGTTGACAATCCGTTTTTTATTAATATTGGTTTATCGTTGGTTACAAATATAAATTAAATAACTTTATGTATCCCACCTTCCCAACTATCCACCTACAATAGTAGGTTGCGTTCTGGGAATTTTTCAAGCTGAACACCATTTTTCGTCCAATTTGACTGGGCTGTGATAAAAACAAGCAGTTTTAATTTATGGAAAAGAAAAATAATAGTTATTTGAAACATAGTTTAAAATTTTATCTGTGAACCATTCCATAACAGTAAGAAGAGATAGAATATAATAACTCGATGTGTAATAAATCCCAAAATAAATGTTTGATAACAATGCAACCTTTTACCTGCTACGTTGATGTCGTGTGTTGGTGGCGGCATACAGATTGAACCGCTCACAGTAATGATCATTTACGACTAAACACAGACGAGTTTAGAAATTGCCTAAACATTATCCCTTAATAAATTAAAAGTAGAAAGCGTGACCTCCGCGGTTCTTGGAAATCTGTAGCATACACACGCGCAGTCACAAGTCCCTCTATTTTGCGAACAAAAAGTTTTAACTTCAGCGGGACCATGAAAGACACTATAAGCCAAAGAAAAATTCTCACAGTACCGATAACCCGATTTTAATTTCGAAAACATATTTGAATTCTTAGCTATTTTTTGTAAGAAATTAATTTTCGATTTGTTGTATTGTTGGTTGATTATAGTACCAAATGTATTTCTCCATAATATTTTAAAGATTAACTTTTACTATAGTGTAATTAAAAATAAAAATTAATTTTCTATAAAACAGACAAGAAGCTAACTAATTGAAATATATTTTCAAAATTAAAATCAGACTTCTGGAAGTATGTGTTTTTTTCCGCTTAATGGTCTAAATGCACGAAATTAATAAAGTATACAAAATAATATATAGGTAAACTAATTTATAGTCAGAAAAAAGAATGGTCACAATCACTTTTTGTTATCAGTTTTCTGATATCTGTATATATCACGTATAAGTTTTTCAAATTCCGAATCACTGTAAATATCAACGTCGTCTTCTTTTCTACTATACACTCCTTTTACACTTTTGGTTCGTAACATTGGATGATGTTTGTATACCATCTGAGTTATTAAACATTTTACTTTTTCTTTGTTTATTTTTTCAAACTCTGTGCAAATGTGTTTTTTATAATCATCCAACAACTTTGATGACTCAAGATTTTTCTTTTGAATTTCTTTAATCAACATTGTCCTTTTTTTTATGTCCAAATAATATTTCCTCGTATAAAAGCCCTTATAATATTTTTGAATAATTATTGCTGCCTTATTGTAGTAATCAATAGACTTTAATACGAATGTATTTATTGCTAAATCGTTGAAATACCTAAAACATCAATAAAAACATACTAAATTTTAGAATTGTTAATTATTAGCATACCTTCTAGTTATATATCCTCTCCAGCTTTTTTGAATAACTGTAGCTGCTAAATTTAACTTGGAAATATATAATCTAGTATAACAGCCTCTATAACGTCGTTGTATAATAATTGCAGCTTTCTTATTTTTTTCAATATATTGAGCTCCGGTGTTTTGTTTTAATTCTAATATCGTATTTAAACTTTTTTCATTATGAATTATATTTTCTACAAAAGCCATTATGTAAAATTAATTGTTGAAATTTGATTATGAATCAATTAATAAATAGATAATATTATACAACTATTTATTTGTTTTAGTTTTTGTATGTTGGCAACTAAAAATATTATTTTATATTTATTATGTATATTATACACCCAATATCCTTTATTTATAATCTAATTTCTTTGTATTTAATGTTTTTTGTTTTCATTGTTATAATTTATTAATTAATAATTATGTATGTTATAATTGAGTGTAAATTGAGAAAAATTATTAAAAACCTATTATTGCCAAAACTTGTATTTAAAAAAAAATAAAATATTTTAAATTTTCCTGTCTTATATATTTATCACTTTCTAAGTTAATCTTCAAAGTGAGAAAAATAAAATAAAAATGAGTTCAAGTTTGATAAAAAAAAAAAAATTATTTTGAAATTTAACACACATAACTAAATATTTTAAACTTATTAAATATTAATTATGATTTATAGTATATAATTGTTAATAATTAAAACACTTGATCATTACAGGTAAAATCTTATAGAGAATATCAATTAGAGAAAAAAGATATAAACATGTTAACTGAAGAAGATAAATTTTTAATGCAATTGACCAAAGTGGAAAGACTTGCTACCAAATTATCTATAATGAGTTATATGGGAAATTTTTTGGATAACTTACATTTAATATCACCAGTGAGTTTTGAAAACTGTAATTTGGTTAACATAAAGTTATCTCTATTATTTGAATTATAGCAAGTGCATGCAATCATATCAGCTTCAAGTTCTGTAAAAAATTCGAAAAAACTGCGCCAACTACTAGAGATAATATTAGCATTTGGTAATTACATGAACAGTGCAAAACGTGGTCCAGCGTATGGATTCAAACTTCAATCACTAGACACCTTAGTTGATACCAAGTCAAGTGATAAACGCATATGTCTTTTACATTTCATTGTTGATACTATTAAGTCTAAAATGCCAGAAATAATGAATTTTGATTCAGAATTCATGTACATAGATAAAGCGGCAGCTGGTATGATTTCTGTTATATAGTTATATTTTATAGAGTATTCTTATTATATTTAAATTGTTATTCTGTTTAGTATCGTTAGAAAATGTTATATCTGATGTAAACGAGTTAGAGAAAAATATGGATATTGTAAAGAAAGAATGCGAAACAAGGAGTTATGGAAATGCTCAACATGTGATGGTTCTTCGAGATTTTCTTAATAATTCTGAAGACAAATTAAAACGATTGAAAAATGAGACTAAAACTGCTCAAGAATCATTTAGAGATTGTATAGAGTATTTTGGTGAACCACGTCGAGGAACAGATGCTAATACTTTCTTTTCCATGCTTGTTAGATTTGTTAAAGCATTCAAGGTAAACTAATTTTATCATTACATTTCATAACTAAAGTTCACTATTAATGGTAATCACTAATCAATAATAATAATAATTTATATAGTTGTTTAGTGTCTATTCATTATAATAAATATTTGTTATAAATTATTTTTATTTTTTTGGTTTCTATGTCTGTTTATAATAGGCCGCTGATATAGAAAATGAACAAAGAAAGCGATTAGAAGAAGCTGCATGCCAAATCAAAACTAAATCAAGTACTGAGAACCTAGTTGCCAAAAACAAAATAAATCAAAAAATGCAACAAGTACGTCCTTTTTATTGTAAATATTTAAATCGATTACAAGATTCATTAATTGAATAACAGTAATAATAATAATTGAGGTCTGTAGAACATTGCATTTTTTTTCGCACGTTTTTTTTATTAATATGTTATATATATATATACCTACTTGTATAATTTTTATTTATTTTTTGTTAGATATCCAATATGATTTTAATATTTCATGTTTGTTTGCTTTTATATTAATAGTTTATTTGTGTGATGTTTGGTTATGGTATTACAATAGTTGTTATGCATTTTTTTTTTTTTTTTAAAAAAAAAGAAAGTATTTTATATTAATTTAGGCCTATTATTTGTAATTTGATAGTTATAACATATTTGTGTTTTAATTTCTAATTAATGTTTGGTGTTTGTATTTATATTTTTGTTTTTACATCATCTGTGTGCATACTAATCATTAATTTAGAATTATTAAGTCATTTTTGTAACCTCAATCATTTGCTTGGAACTTTGTTTGAAACTGCACTACATAACACTAGACTACTGGTTTTGGATCAGAACATATCTTACTTAGGTACCAATACAATTCTACTTAAAAATCATTATGACAGTGGAAAAATGAAATGTTTTATTTTCAAGATTTTACCTTTTCTGAGAGTAGGTATGTCAATTAATAAACCTTTAGGAAACATTTTTTAAAAAAGAAAATTTGACTAATGGTTTTAGATCATATTAAAAAATAACTAAACAAAATGTTATTAATCACAAACAACTATTTTTAGTTGTTGTTTGAATTATATAATATTTTTTTTTTTAGTTAATTTATTGTGCTTGTAGAGATTATAATATTTAATGTAGTATTTGAATATTGGTTGAACTGGCATTCTATTTTTGCTGGTATCACAGAAATATTTTTTTTTTTTCATAACTATATTGTTATAAGTTATTATAAAATGTATATAGAGCATTTTTACTTGTCCATAAAATATATTTTGTAGTAAGTTGTAAATATTGAGGCTACTTTTTATTTTAGTTATTAAACCTTAACAAGGTAATAATAATAATAATAATAATAAAAATACCTCAATTTAACATTTTTTTAAATATTATAATTTTTGTACATTTTATAATATTATAGTATTAGCACCATTAAACTATTTCTGTTATTCAGAAACTTAAATGAAATATTATATAATATGAGGACAAATGTATAGTTCATTATTTTTCAGTGTATGTTATTTATTAAGTAAATATTTTTAACTATTTAAAATTAACTATGATAAAAATTGAATGTTATATAATTTACAATTAGTCAGTATTTAAATAACAGTTAACTATAATAATTAACATTTCATTTTTCCATCTTCGTTTTCATATACATCTATTTTTTTTTCATATTACATCAGTTTTGTAATTTTATCTAAATTAAATTTATTATATTGGTAAATTTTTAGGAGGCTGTGATAAATGAATTGAAAAATAAAACCAAGATGGTTAAAGAAAAGAAACTGTTACATCAAGATGAAGTGTACAATGGTGCATTAGAGGATATTCTCTTGGGTTTGAAAAATGAGCCATATAGGAGAGCAGATGCTGTTCGACGGAGCCAAAGACGACGAATTGACAGCAATCGGTTATCCAGGACTTTAGAAGAACTTGAGTTTTAAAGTTCTTGTGATATGGTAAGTTAAATCTACAAAAATTATTTTTGTTCTCATCTCCTTTGCCTTCATATTAACTATTTGGTGTCTGCTAAATAATAATAATACATTTATTTATAGTTTCGCACAAAGATAATATATCTATTGCAATATCTTCTAAGATATTAAAGATTATCAAATTCTGATAAAAGATAAAAATACTAAAAATATAACTTTATTTTATTATTTTCAAAAAAATTAATGATTTTATAGTTTATTCTTCTAAAAATTTTGTCGCTTCAACTTTATTTTTATTAAATTTGTGATTTTTAATTATTTTATTTTAAGTTCTGAGAAAAAAAAGTATAGTCAATTAGCCATAATAATAATAATAATAATCAATTAGCTAATGTGATTACAGCCTGTTGCATAATTATAGGCACTTTTCTTTGAACTTTAAAAAATTATCAAAAATCACAAATTTAATGAAATTAAAAGTTGATATGTCAAAGTTTTCCATAGAATAAACTATAAAATGGCTTCAATATTTTCAAAAATAATAAAACAAGAAGTTATTTTCTAAGTTTTTTTTATTAAAATAAAAATGATTAAATTAATTGGAATACATGTATGTATAGGCCTTATCCTGTAAATAATAATAATAATAATAATAAAAGAAAAACAGAATTTGACTGTTTTTATTATCTACTGATATTACAATAGTTATAATATAAAGATATTATCTTTGTGGGACACTGTATAATAATAATATTATTACTATATCATTATATTCAGTGATCACTAGTTAATTAACATTTAAATATTGCCGACATATCTATTTTGTTAACATGATGTATATTTTCAAAGAAATCCTTAATATAATAGTTTACTTTTTTTTTTAGACTGTTTCATTTACATTCCACATATCCAAATACTCATGATGTAGGTTTATCTTATTTAAGCACCAAAAAAAATATTGTTAATGTAATCATATTATTATTATTTTGTTTGGTTGTTATTTTATATATTTATTAGAATACATTACAAATATATATATTGTCTTTATAAGAATGAAAAATATAGGATTTTGTATTACTATAAAATTAGAATTTTGGTAAGGTGATTTTTTTTACTCCCATTTTATTTTATATTATTTTTAATTTATTTGTATTATATGTATTCAAATTAGGATAAATTATTTATTTTTATAATCTTCTCGCTCTGTTACTACTAAGCTAATAAAAATATAATAAGAAAGACTCTTATACATTTATAAGTTCTAACACACGTAAAATATTTTAAGTAATCTTATATACTTTACTAAAAACATTAAAAAGTATTTGGATTTTATTTCTCAATTATTTTATTAATATTTATTGTGTCCAGTACGTTACCAGTGGAGCATTATTTAATATTAATATAAATCTTCAAGTAATATATTTTTCATCATTTATTTATATAAATTAATTTTTTGGATAAAAAATTATATTTTTAGTAAAATATGTACCTATGCAGATAATTGATTTAATTTTATAAGTGAAATATTTTTTTTATTCATTGGCGTCCAATTTTTTAAGTTTATACATGTTGAAAGCAATTTTAAAATGTGTTATTTACCTGTTAAAAATGAGCTTAGTTAAAACAAAAATGTGTTTATATATTTATATTATACTGTTATATGATCTGAGGTAAATGTAACTTTAAGTGAACAAAATAAATATTTTCTAATTTGTTCTATTGGGACCGATTATTTTTATATCTACGTGTGTTATAAACTTATGTGAAACATCACTTTTCGACATTCCACTAATTCTTAAGATTGTCTCGATGAATTACTATCGCATTTGTGATGTGGTGCTTTTAGATATTAGTTTTGTAAGACTTTTTTTATTAAATTAATTTTTGTTGAATAGATGCATATATTATGTTAATGTTTCTTAGTTATTAATAAATTACCTATTAACATTTCTGTGCTAAAACTTGAATTATACAACTTTTTTTCTAGAATCAGCACCAATGACATTTTATTTTATTATACTATTATTTATTATATATTATTTTTATGTTTTTAAATATTTTGTAACACATGTAAATAGGAATTATACATAAATACGAATAATGTTCTAATATCATATATATATAAATATAAATAAAAGATAAGCGGAATGAAATAAATCGATCAGTGCCATCATAAGAAATAATGTTAAAAATAATATGGATCTTTGTATTTTAACTGATTTATAAATTCCTAGTACTTCTGTTCTTTTCTTATATTCTTTTAAATTTAGAAATGTTATGCTTTATTAAATTATTATTTTTTTCGAGTACCTACTATATATAAAAGATTTTTTAGATTGTTATTTATATTAAACAATATTTATACGCGTTACATATAGTGTTTTCTGTGATTATAATTATTGTTTTAATAGCTTTTGTACGCAAATAGATGTTTTCTATCAAAAGTTTTGTAATTACCTAAATTATAATATTGAAAAATAAGTACAATAATACAATGTTATACTTTTGGAATGCACTGTTAGAAGGTTTTGTGTGGACATTGTGCATCCTACGAACAAAATAAATTAAAATAATATTTTGTTTTAAAGAAATTTATAAAATGTCTTGGTTTTTTTTTGAGTTCCTGTACATTTAATTTTCTTACAGGTATGTTTCAATTTAAAATTACGTGCGCAAGTATGATAGGATAATGAATAATTAATAAGATTTATAATTTTTTAATTTGTTAATAATGTCCATATAAAAAACAAAAAAACAAAAACTAAATATATGTTAGTTGCAATAGTATTTGGTATTAGCAGCTTAATCTTAACAGACATTTATCAAATACACCCAAAAATTTGTTGTTAACTTGTTGGATATTTTTGCATCACTCCTTGAATTTGTTGGATTTGGAACTCCTAGGAAAATCAAAAAATTTACTTCTTTGCCTTCGCGCATTGCAACGGAGTTCTTAGCGCTGCTAGACCACCTGATGATGGATTTGTTAATTATTTGGCAATTATTGTTTACGATCGTGCACCATCGTCGATCTCACCGCCGTGTATACAGCGAGTCATAAAGCCATAGTGGGGATAGATGCACAAACAACAATGTGTTTTCGTTCGCAGTCTGGTCTGTTCTTATTTTGAATATAGTATAGATTCAAAATGTGACAAAAAAAGGCCTCTTATTATTTTGCAATTAAAGCAGAATTTCTGAATGAAAAGTTGTTTACAAATAGACAAAAACACATCATAGTAAAACTAATAGACACCTCTCATTATACCCAGTAAATTTATTATACTAGTGAACTTTATTTTATTGAATCTTTTTCCTCAGCAAAAAATGTCAAGCTGTGTATAAAAAATCACTGCAAAATGATTTCATTATTTCAAATTTGTACGGCTTATATTTTCTACCAAAAATATTGCTCAAATAGAAAAATCTCAAGTGACCTTTTTTGTTGAATTTTGAATTTTAGTCGGTGATCAAGAAAGTCGATTTTTGATTTTCGTTGCAGTTTTTTCTAGCAGTTAAGCAAAACCGAAAAATACGTAAAAAGAATGGGGAAATTTACGAAAATAATTCTTTTATTCATTTAAATTTTGTTTTTGTAACGCAATTCAGTTAAAATATTCGCAGAGACTTAAAATGTTAACAGCAAACTTATATTTACTTTTTATGGACGTGATTTATATTTTAGAACATTTGAGAAATCGTTGAGCTATTAGACATGGACGTTTCAATTTTGTGAGTTTTTTACGTAATTTTTATTTGGTACTTACTGTGTAGATAAATTGTTAGACTTCACAGAAATGCTTGGAAGTTTCAAAGGAGATTTATTATAAGTCGTACTATGTAGTAAAAAAAAAAATAAAAAAAATTGGGTGTGATATACATTTTTTTTTATAAGAATTTTAATATCGAATTTTGACTAAAATCATATAACCTTCCAAATCATGTATAACTGAAATTTGCTGAGAATCGGGATGAGTTAGTAAAAATTAATTGTTGCATACAGATATCCATGAAATTCCCCTCTAAATCTTACCTTCCCAACTTTTCATTTACAACTGTGACCCTCCCATCGTGCGAAGTATGTCCGTATCTTTTTTATGTTTAACAAAAAATAAGGAAATTATGTGACGGAATAAAATATTATAACATTTAAGTTCTTGCCGTTCTTGGCGTGAGAAATGCCTATGTTAAATTAATTTCGAAAATAAATTCTAAATTATCGTAAGTCGTACTTGTATAATATTATAATCATTTATTCTGATTTCGATTTAACTATCCGTGAACAATAATAATTTAAAGCGAACGTACACGTTGATTTTAAAATCTTGTAAATAACAAAACAAACGATAAAAGCGAAAGCGAATGCCGTAGCGATCACGTCTAGCAGGTAGTATTGATACCACGTCAGATTCAACGCTTGTGATTTCAGGTGCGCCGCTCCTTTGTGACGAATCACGTACTCTGTCCAGTAAACGACCGATTCCGAGGCTGATAACGGTCGGTCTTTGAATATTTCCGAATTTTTTTTGGCGTTCTGCGCATACCTATTGCAGAAAACATTACAAGAATCGGCAAGTTAGAGATACCCGATATTTTATATCGCTTAAAAAGATAATATTCCGTCTGTAATATGGTATGTAGAACGAGCATACGTTTCATTTCTGAGAAGTTCCAAAACGTTTTTCAACAACGTGCCAGTAGTGACGGAAAACAGGTCCATGGAAATTGCCATTCCACTGTTGACCAAATGAGCGATATTTTTCGGCTGATCTCCGAATAACGGAAACCCGAGAATCGGAACGCCGGCGTCTATAGCTTCGTATAGTCCAGATATGCCTCCATGGCTGATGAACAGCTTCACCTTTGGGTGCGCTAAAAAAAACAATAAAAAAAAAACGTAATACAGTGTTGTTTAGACGATTTAATAATTTCTAGTTTTACATTAACGAATCATATTTAATGGGTATTTCATTACACAGTATGTCGCGCTGGGGTAGCCATTTTTTCGTCATCACGTTTTTCGGTTTGTCCGTCAGAACGTCTTCATACTTCCATATCACTCGCTCGGGAATCTGCGCAAACGTTTCCAGAAACGCTTTTTCGACGTGTTTCGGCAACGAAGACATTTTAACGGTCGAACCGAACGTGAAATATATAACTCCATCGGGCGACTGTTCGATAAATTCTGATATATCCTAAAATATTGGACATTATTTTTCACCCGATACAGATTTGATCCCGAATGTCTCGGTAAGTGAGCGCGGCAAATGTACCTATTGGTTTTACTATGGAGTGATTTTGTGCGTTCAAGAAGTCATATTTTGATTTTCCATGCGATTTTCGTAATAATTGAGAAAACCCGGGAAAAAATGTAGAATAAAACGGATAAATTTTATCGGCGCATTATATTTCATTATTTCAATCAAACATACGTACGATTTATGTATTTTATCAGAAACGTTACGTCAGTCAAAACATGATACGGGACATTTTTTGTTGGTATATTAACTATAGTTGGCGAGTAAGACAGTTGTTTTTTGATTTTTGGCGTAATTTTGAAAACACCTACCGAGAAAATACGGGAATGTTTACGGAAACCATGGTTTCATTATTTTTAATTTAGTTTTTTCGTTGTAATTCGGTATAAAAGATAATAGTGATAATAGTAAACAATAGTTGAATTATTATAGCCTGTTTATATACTTATAACAGCCTTTTAGCCTTTTCCAAACGTGCAGAAAAAAAAATCGTCAACACGTTTTGGTGAACTTTGAGCTATTGATAGGCATTTGACATTCTAGTGTTTTTTTTTTCTTTTAGTTCTTATGTTTTCGGCTGTATGCGGATAAAATAGTTTTGGCCCAATAGAAATGTATTTGAACATTCGACACGTACGGAAATATGAAGTTTATAAACTTTTTTAAGCATACGATTTTGACGGAAATCGTAAAACTCAACGAATTTCAAAACAAGTTTTGAACCAACCGAACTTCCACACACAATGTTATTACTACAGGGACGTACACAGAAAAACGTTTTGCGGGTTGTTTTTGAAAATCAAATATTGAATATCAATTATTGAAAATTAGATTTTTGTATGGTATGAGTAGATAAATAACTATACAAAAAACCAAACATTTCCGGGGGCGTTTGAACACCCAAAATACCCCTCTGCGTACGTGCCCGTATTACTGTGTCTACTCCGGCGATATTATGGAACATTTTGTAATAACGTAGGTGCAAAAAAAAATTTTAAAAATGTAATATGTTTGTAAAAATAATATTATTATTACATACACATTGTTCAATCTCGCAGACAAAATCGTAGTTTCCTGCAGTGTTTTTATACATTATTTGACGAATGAAAACTGACTAATTGAACTTTTGTGGTTAATGATTTTCAATTTCGATGAACGATGGTTTATCATTAACTTTTACTGCGTAAATACTTGAACGAAATTCCAGGTTAAAATATTGTATACATAGACCAAAGGTATTTGGGTTTGCGGATTATCGTAATGGCCGCAGTACCGTTTCGCCCGAATTTCGCCATCGTGTGATTCCCCGTTTCGCCCGGAATGGTTTAGGTCAATTTTAAATTAAATTGGTAATGGTTCAGTCGGCTACAACACGTTTGGGCACTATGTCATTCCGATATCACACAACGCGTTCGGGCAACCCGTGGTTTACGGGTACTCTGCGTATGTAATGCACAGTTGGCGAATGTGTGCATAACAAATTCAAGTTATACACCTCCAACGATAACCGCGCGCGGGACTTTCAGCCGTTATTATAGCAGCGGACCGCGATAAAACGCGCAATCGTCACAGACGTAAGGCCGGCGCGCAACAACTGTCGGAAATAATACATCGGCAATTTCCAAAGTCGTACATAAATAACGTAATAACGTACGGAGTATCCATATTTGTTTTGCACCACGAGTCAGTAATCAGTACGCAGTCGCTAGTCGAGTGTCACGCAGTGCGTAGTGCGTGCACGACACGTTTACAGATATTTTCACCGCAAACTCCACAGATAGTATTTTCGATACAAAACGGCGAAGACGATGTGTTCTCGGAGCAGGGGGATATAAGCCATGCGAAAATGAACAGCCGGAGGACCGGACGTTTTCACTTCAGACGCACAAACCGTAAATGTAACATAACAGCAATCATCGGCGAGAAAATCGATTTAATTATTTCCCGAAAAAACGGTCACAGTCATCCGGCAACTTCTGAAAATATTTTAGACCAATTATTTATTTTCAATTTATACTCGTCAAAAAATAATGTCCACACCTAAGCGAAAGGCCATTGATCATATAGGCGTGACTAGACTTCATCCGCAGCGGCAGCATAGCTAATGGCCGGCGCCACTTGATGAACCAAAAAATAATCCCTTTTAAAATCCCCTTTGGGAAAGGTTAGTCCTCACTCCCCCAATTAAATATTCATATAATTTAAACGAGTCTGTATTATCTATTTACGATTAATAACGCACAATATTTTCAGTACCTTTAAATTTAACTACAGAAATATTATTCAGGCCTGGGTTACACCGCCGTGCAGTTAAGTAATTAACAAAATATATCGTGTATTAATATCTAGAACGACAAAAATGGTCGACCGATAGGGAATAATATTTTGTTATAAACAGTGCATAAGAAATTTTTTTAAATTTTTTTTTATAAAATTCGTAAACCACTAGACGTACAATTTGGTTTACCGGCGCCTTTTGGCCTATGCCACTGACGATGCGTTTACTAAACCAAATGAACTTACCAGAAAAGTAAAAGTAAAGGATCAAACCACTGTTAATATAAGTCGTTCAGATGTGCGTTCATTTAGGAAATTTATGTATGATGCTAGGCGAAAACAAACTTATGCAAATTCGATTCAACACGAGAACACGAGTTACGTTACATATGTATGTATATATTTATATATATATATGTATATATTGTTGTGCGACCTATATACTTATTAAACAAATGCGTATACTTCTTAAAATCTAGTGTCCAAACGTCGTGTGGATTTCGAATACCGAACAGGTAAAAGGGCCCAAACCGGGTTCAGTCGTGCATATCATAATTTAGCGATTGCCAAGTTATAATTCGATAGGTACGTGTGCGCTGTACCTGCGGATTTAATTTTTTCGAGCTGGTGCATTGGAACGGTCATTTTTTGATTTTCTAAGGGGTTTTAGAAATAACTGGGAAAAACCAAAAAAAAATTATATGTAA